AGCTTGGGTCTGAAATCATGGACATCTTGAACTGCTGTCTGAGTGATCTATGGCTGCTCAGCTTGATTTTCTGTATGCGCTGCTTCCCTATACTGAAAAATCCAGGCCATATTTTGTTTAGCATTGACTTGCCAGAAAAAAATATTTCCCTGAATATGCATGTAATAGGAAGACAGAGGAACTGCATATGGATTGCTAAATGTATTGCAACTGTTGAGAAAATGAGGTCTTTCACAAGAAAAAGTTTTTACCTTTTCTGTGTATGTCTAGGGAATATGTATTTTGAGTTGCTTCTAGGTGAACTCTGTGCTGAGCTCAACTGCCTCAGTATGCTCTAGTGCCAGCTGCAGCAACACTGGCTAGCTCAAACACCTGAGCAACCCTCAAACACCTGAACCTCTCTGTAGCTGCAGCTGCAGTCCAGCTGAGGTAACTCAGGGCATGCTGAGTGGCATTAGCTGGCCCTGGCAGGCAGATGCCTTGCCCCCTGTTGTGTCTCTGTCTAGTATAATTTAGGGAGTCCTGTCTCAATTTTTATTTGCCTATAATGTCAAACATCTGCTCAGTGCTCTAACAACATTTAAACCAGTACATATAAGTTTGTACTTTCCTGCTAGGCTCAGTCTGATGTGCATCATTTCAGAAGCTGTAAGTATGTGTGGCATCTTGCTCATGGAAAACAAACTCTGTTTTAATAGGAAGCAATCAAATCAGAAGGCAAATCATAGAATCATAGAATATGCTAAGTTGGAAGGGACTTATCAGGATTATCAAGTCCAGCTCCAGGCCTTTTGCAGGATACCCCAAGAATCACACCATGTGCCTGTTAGCATTGTCCAAACGCTTCTTGAATTCAGACAGGATTGGTGCTGTGACCACTTCCCTTGGAAGCCTGTTCCAGTGCTCAACCACCATCTAGGTGAAAAACCTTTTCCTGATATCCAACCTAAATCTGTCCCAACTCAGCTTCATGCCATTTCCTCCAGTCCTGTCACTGGTTATCAGAGTGAAGAGATCGGTACCTGCCCCTCCACTTGCCCTCGTGAGGATGTCAAAGACCACAATGAGGTCTCCCCTCAGTCTCCTCTTCTCCAGGCTGAACAGGCCAAGTGATCTCAGCTGCTCCTCATATGCTTTCCCCTCCTGACCCTTCACCGTCCTTGTTGGCCTCCTTTGGAAGCTCTCTAACAACTTAATATGGTTCTTATGTTGCAGTGCCCAAAACTGCACAAAATATTCAAGCAGTGCAGAGCAGAGAGGGACAATCCCCTCCCTCCACTGGCTGGTGATGCTTTGCCTGATGCCCCCCAGGACACAGTTGGCCCTCCTGGCTGCCAGGGCACTGCTGACTCAGATTCAACTTGTCATCAACCAGTACTTGCAGGTCCCTTTCCAAAACGCTGTTCTCCAGCCTCTCATTTCCTAGCATATACACATACGTACTGGCTTTCAGCATGCTTTTAATTTCTAAATATGAAGTATGTAAGAAAATAAAAATCTTTACCATTTTCTGGTCAGGGCAGCATAAGATCTAAATAAAGGGGCTCATACACTGAAAACACATCTGTGACTGCCATGTGATACATAAACACCCAGGCTAATGCTAAACCTGAATCCACTGGGTTATTAATGACAGCACAACTGGGTCATCTGCATATTGAGTGTAAACTGATTTTATCATGTTTCCTGCATAAGTTCGTAACCTACCCTAAGCTTTCTGCAGTTAACTAGACCATAATTGAACAGGTGATGTAAAGCATTTCTGCAGTACAGTTACTGAAATACCGTGGTGTTCTAGATTTGTATTATGTTTAGATCAGTCAAGGGGGATAGTAAGGCTTATATGTGGATTCAGGGGCCTACGCTTCCTGACTTGGTCTAAAAAATTGGAAATTTTGTAAAATATGCTCTCATTGAGACTTGCTACCATACTGAGCGAAATCATTAGAAGATGCACAGTTTCTGTGGTATCTTTATCTAAAGGGAAAATATCTTTTAGATTAGGACTTGATGTAAAACAAGAGTGAGAGGTTTTTGGTGCACTATCTGGTCTGAGAAGTTAGTAGGCTGCATCGTCAGCCTTGCCATCTGCCTCCTTCTGCATCAGCCTCTTGAAAAAGGGCCAGCTCTGTTTGATTGATGTATTGCATGATGGAATCACAGAATCATTTAGATTGGAAAAGACCTCTGAGATCATTGAGTCCAACCTTTGACTGAACACCACCTTCTAGCCCATAGCACTAAATGCTATGTTAAGTCATTTCTTGAACACCTCCAGGGATGAGAAGTCCACTACTTCCCTGGGCAGCCTGTTCCAATGCTTAACCACACTTTCAGTGAAGAAATTCTTCCTGATGTCCAGCCGGAACCTCCTGTGGTGCAGCTGGACACTGTTTCCTCTTTTCTGTTGCTATTTGCCTGGGAGAAGAGGCTGAGCCTCACCTGACTACAACCTCCTTTCAGGTAGTTGCAGAAAGCAACAAGTTCTCCCCTGAGCCTCCTTTTCTCCAGGCTAAACAACCCCAGCTCCCTCAGCCATTCCTCATATGACTTACTCTCTAGTCACTTCACCAGCTTCATTGCCCTTCTCTGGACACGCCCCAGCACCTCAATGTCTTTTTGAAGTGAGAGGCCGAGAACTGGACACAGGACTTGAAGTGAAGTCTCAACAGTTCTGAGTACAGGGGGACAATCACTTCCCCGGTCCTGCTGACCACACTATTTGTGATACAGGCCAGGATGCCATTGGCCTTATTGGCCACCTGGACACACTGCTGGGTCTTGTTCAGCTGCTGGTCGATCAGCACCCCCAGGTCCTTTTCCACCAGGCATCTTTCCAGCCACTCTGCCACCAGCCTGTAGCACTGCATGCGGTTGTTGTGACCCAAGTGCAGGATCCCGTACTTGGCCTTATTGAACCTCACAATAGTGGCCTTGGCCCATCCATCCAGTCTGCTCAGATCCCTCTGCAGATCCTTCCTGCCCTCCAGCAGATCAACACTTCTACCCAATTTAGTGTCATCCTTACTTATAAGGGTGCCCTCAATAGTACTACATCATCTAACTTATATAACTTCTAGGCCTCTAAGCCAGTTAATGCAGTTGATACCAGGTTGGTAGCTAGTTATTTCTTATTTGTTTAAAGATTTAGACCCTGAAGCGTTAGATTAGTCTGCACTCTGCATTAGATGCTCTCTTGAAGCAGGCAAAGTCAGGCTCTGTTTTGTGGCTTAAATAACTTATTATGGCCCGGAGAAAAGAATGACAGACTGAAACACTTTTCTGCAATTTGGTCCTAAGGTTGATCCTAAGTACTTTTCTCTGAACAGATGGATGCTGATCTTCTTCTACCAATGTTCTGGGTTAAGTGCTCCTTGACAAGCCTCTATTCTAGTCTTTTTCCTTCCTAAGCAGATTGGTGGTCATGTTTTCTTCCTCTGTAAGAGCTCTCCATCTAGTAGGCTGCAGCATATTCAATTTTGTACAGCAGAAACCAAAATAATTTTTGAAACTTTTTTCTAGAAATATGACATCTGAAGATTTGAGATATCCTCCCATCCGTGTTCCCCATGGCTATACTGTAGATGAGAGATTTTTGAAGATCTGCTTTTGGTTCTAAGCATGGAAAAGGAGATTTAATCTTCCTATTCCTAATTGTTTAACTGCATTTTCAAAACAAATCATGATCTGCTCTGGATTTATAATGAAACACACTCAGGTTTTTTTCGGTTTTGTGTTTGTTTGTTTTTTTTTTTGTCTAAAATACTTAGAAATTTTTTATCTTGAATGTCTTTCTCGTTATAAGCAACGAGACCATGCACGAGATGTAATGATTCTAAGTCAACATTTTCTTTGGGTGCTGTGTATTGAAAGTTATTTTCCATTATTTGTCTTTCTGCTACTAGACAAAAATTCTTATAAAACAGAACAACTGTAGTATTATTCTGACAAGTCCAATTTATATGGTACATTGTCACAAAAGAATACCTAAGAAAATGCAGAATGGCTATGCAAACCTACTAATATGATTTAGAAACTCCTTGCAGATGCTACATACAACATACTATTAAAACTGCAAATACATATTAAATATGTGTGTTTTTAAAGAAAATTTTATAAATATTCAAATTTAAGATGAACAAATATGGAATAAAATGCACTAGGAAACTGATATGTAGACAAAGGTTTATTTACACCATACAACATTTTAAATATTTTATACACAGCTGCAGCAGAGAAAGCTACTCTGAGCTTTCCAGAGAAAACTGCAATAATAAAGATGTGAAATATATTATTCATATAAAAGTGAGATTATTACTTTATTGCATTTAAAGCAATGAAGAATGTAGCTCAACAGACATTCATTTAATGACAAAAACTTTGCTTTTATATTATAAAGTAAAAAGTGTAGTAATGGCCAAACAGACTGTTATAAACTTTAAAAACTGCATAAATATATACATTGTGCTTCATGGTGAAGTTTTTTGAAAACTAAACCAAATGAAGCTGTTACAACATGAATCGTTGCTTGAGGTTTATCTATAAAGATTACCTTACAAATCCATTCCACGGGTACTTACAACACACGATGGTAAGAATTGTACACCTGGTTCTCCACTAGCTGCACTAGTGGGAATATACTGTACGAAAAAAACCACTGACATTTGGCACAGGAAGAGCCTGACATAAAGGAGTCGCAATGTTCAGACAGGAGCGTCAGGATTGTCAGGATTCCCAAAGTCTCTTTATTGTCAGTGCAACGAATTATTTTTGTTTTGTTTCTGGTTTTTTTCAGTTTGTTTTTGTTAAACTTCTGTTTGAAAGTCACCTTCTTGCACATCTAAGGGCAAGTTCAGACATTTCTCCCACTCTGCTGGTCTGAGTTCTAAAGCATCTTTTGCCTCTGTGTCTAATACATTTATCGTTGTATAGTGTTGGTAGTCGCCTGTGGTTTTGAAACTGTCCCATGGAGCTTTGCTTGGTCCTGAGTTCTCCTGAAGACCAAAGAAAGAAGAATTAAAACCAAGGATGAAATAATGTGGTTTCCATGTATAAGGCTGTTTGCTTTCATGAGACACAGAAGCCAGAGAGAGGAAATGGCTTTGCAGGGAGCCAGGCTGGTGGGTGTTCAGCACCACTGCAACTCTTTCTCTGTGAACAATCAACACTTTGGCAGGCTCCTCACCTGAGCTGCCAGCTAAGCCCTTTCTTTCACAAGAACCAATGTAGTGAGGAATGGCCGAGTGATCCAGTCCCAATAGCCATCTTTCTAATAGTGGTTGTGTAGAAGAATGGGAGAAGGGAAGGTAATAGAGGACAGTTTGCTGCCTGAAATATGGAATGGTTTGAAAGAGAGATTGCCAGCTGGATTTTAAATTGTGGCAGGTGCATGACAGAAACACAGAAGCCTTGAAAATGCTGTGAGAGCCACCTTGCTGGTTTTGGCTTTTTTTTTTTTTTGCATGCTAAGTTTTATAGGGTAAAAGACATTACGGATTATGACCAATTTAATTAGTGATTTCTGCTCTAACATGATGGGTGGGATTCAGTTGCCAAAACCTAACGTTTTTGCACCATTTTAGTTGCCTTTGGACTTTCTATTTGATCTCCAACAATCTTTCATGAGAGGTGCAGGTCTCCTTTGAGTCTTGTGTCATCACTGCCTGTACCATGTGGTAAACTAAGACCTCTGAGACTGTCTAAAATAGTCTGAGATGCCTATATTTAGGTACCTGGATCACTCTCTGACTCTTACAGATAGACCATTCCTCTAGGCAGCTTTTTTTGGCAGACCTTTTAAAAACACAGCGCTGATGTGAAACAGAGTAAACACAACTCTTTCACTGAGATTCCCTTTGAGATTTTGAATTAATTCCAGCTTTATACAGACAGCAAATCTCAAGTAGGGAGACAAATGAAAACTGTACATGTCAACAAATCTCAGAAGGAGAAGTGAGTGAGAACTTGATACAAAATAACACATATCACAGCTAAAGGTTCATCAAAGAATCAGGGCTAAATTTCTGCTGGATTAAGATGATGTAAATGATGTAAATCCATTGGCCTCACATCTGCTTAATACCTCTTCTTCATGTCTGAGAGCAGCTCTTCTGAAAAAGTTATAGAATACAATGATTCTAGCTTAGTTCCATTGAATATACAATTTTCACATTATAAAATTATATAAAAATTATTACTAATCAAAATATTACTGCTAACAAATATATCAGACTAAATTAGCTGTTTTAATTAGGTGAAATCAACTATGTACTTGCTCTCATTATCAGATGCAGTCAGGGTGTAATGCATGTGTGTACGAGTGTGTGTGTATAAATTTGAATTATGACGATAGCAGCCTCAACTCAGGATGATTTAATTTTTGCTTTTCCCATGGTAAATATTTATAAACCTATTATGGAAAAGACATGGTATTACAGAGATCCTGTGTGCTTTCCAGACCATCTCACGTATAGGTAAATCTAGGTAGACTTGTTTGTAGTAACTAATTTAATATCTCCTTGCCTAGCCAGAGGAAAAACCCTATTGGCCAAATTATATCAGTGAGCTGATTTGTCTATACAAAGCCCTTTAGACTCAGTAGGCAGATGCAGATTTGAAATCTGTTTCCTACAGTTCAATTACTTGTCATCTATAATGATGTCAGTGAGTAGTTATGGTCTAGTTGTAAAACCTAATGAGTCTTGTCATAGGTTAGATTACTGAAAATATCTTCTGTTCTCACTTCTGAGGCTGCTTAAAGGTGAGGTCTTCTTGGGAAAAATACTGAATTCAAAGGGCTCTTATTTCATTGTTGTTCTTTAGGATCCATCATATTTTAAATATAATAGAAGGAAAACTTACCATACTGCCTGATTTTGGTACATCCCGAAATCTGTCCAGAGTCTGAAATTTCTGATTTAACTCTTGAAACAATTCCATGTGCCTCTTTCTTGTATGCATGACCTTCTGCAAAATGGAACATAATTGCTTATATTTATAATTGAATCTGTTTGGGTTTTTTTTTAAGAGGAACATTATTTTTCCCAACATAATAAAGTAAATTGAATTTGGCAGGGCCATCTTTTCCCTATAGACTCAACCAATGGAAGTGAATTGCACCGAGCCTTCTCTCTGCTCTGTTTAATGTTCATCCTGTGTACAAGAAACTGTTTTCACCCCACATTTATTGAGCTGGTGTTTTTCCACTAGCTTAGATGCATTCTGGAAGTGATGGCGATTTCTCAGAAGAACATTTATCTTGCACATTAGGAATATTTTCTAGAATTTCTGATTCCAGCATGGACACTAATATTTTAATATCTGTAGCAAAGCAACAGCAGTTTGTAATTGTCCCTGTCAGAGCAATTTTTATGAGGATGCTGAACTCAGAAATCTTGGCTCAAAATGGAAAATCCCCAAATGTTATGTCTTTTTAATGAGACATCTTGTCATTCCAATCATTATAAAATGCAGTTGAAAAGGCATTCATATTAAGAAAAGTAGGCACAGTTTTTCAATTTTACTTGCTTTCTTATTTTATGGACAAAGCAATTGGAAACCATCCTCCCTCTAGCCCATGTATAGGGCACTCTTCCACTAATTACATGGCACTCCTGTGCAAGAGATGGGGACCCCAAACAACCCTCACAGTTCTCAGGCCTCAGTTCACAGGCCTCAGCCATGAATCTGCCTGGGGTAGCTACATGGAGAGCAAAGCTGTTTTTCAAGTCTATGTTGTAAACTCTATCATCAGAGTTGTTTTCAAAGAAATTCATGCTCATTTATGGATTCAAACCAGCCTCTGGAGCAAACATGAAGGCTGCTTACTGTTGAACCAGTCTCATGGTTCTGTGGTCTCGATGGACAAGGGACAGGAGGGACTAAGGATGCTTCACCTCAGTCCAACAGTGGATGGGCTCAGCTTGACTTTTCTTAAGCTTTTGTAACTAACTGTTTGAACTTGAGTTACAGTCAAGGCAGCAGCCAGTAATGCTGACAGAAGAGGTGCAGGACACAGGCCTCTGTGCAAGTCCACTAAATGTCAAGCCTGATTTTCCATGGCAAACTCTGCAAACTTATGTATGTGGTACCTCAGTGTGACCCTTTCCAGCAAATAACACTCCTGACAAGCCTAGGCTAGTACCTTTTAAAATGGAGTGGCAGTAGTTGACCCTCAATAATCCTTTATTAATACCAATTTTAACTTTATCTTTCAATTGCATTATGTGTTTATAGATTTCATGAAATGTGACTGCTCTTTAGGCCATGCATTTATACTGCTATGCCATAATAACCATATTATCCTTAATATAGCCACACTGTAGCTTGAGAACTTATTTCATTTCTGACAATAGGAAATTGGCGACATTATTCACAAATGAGACATGAGATACATCAAGCAATCAAATGCCTATTAACTTAACATGAGTTTTGGGGTGAATAAGGGAAAACTTTGTGCAGGATTTGGTAATAAACTCCTTGCACAATGTAATTTAACTAGAGAGAGCTGATCTAAATTTTTGAGAGGAGTTTCACTTTAGTGACTTCCTGGGGATTCTTTTAAGATACTGCTGTTTTAGTAGATAGGAGTATATAACAAATTTCATATACATAGAATTTAAAAAGGAAAGGTTCTATCTCAAAGATTATTATTGGCTGAAATAAGCAGAAATGATGATCGGAATAAAACAGTTTTGGTGGGTTAAAATACTGGCTCTAAAAAGCAGTAAATAGCATATGACTGTGAAACAAGTACCTCCATTTGGAAACTTTTTAGTAGAAGGCTAAGAATATAGAGAATGCTACTTTCTGATGTCTTTTCCCAAATCGTGTACCCAAGATGTCGTTAAATAGCAAATATGAATAATGCAAATGTCTTACTCAGTTCATTACATTATTCTTGAGGAGAAGCAGGTGGGAGGAGAAATAAAACACTTGCACTGGGAAGTCTGCCAGAAAAAAAAGGCTTTAAATTTTATTCTTAATAGCAGAATGACTGGTATGAACATGCACCTATGGATCTTTCAGTTGCTTTGTGTTTTCCTGGCTTCCATTCCATAATTCCTACCCACTGACAGCCACCCCCTCCCCACTGCTTATAAAGAACAATCTGAACTGAAGGTGAGGTGCATTCGATTTCCAATTTTAACTTTATTTTCTAGACTTATTCCTGGTTAGAAAGTACCATCTTATCTCCTAGGAAATATGCTCTAATATGGGTCTTTCTCTTTTATGAGAAAACAACCTACAGAGTATTTGTAGGGGGTTAATCTCTTTTCTCTATGAAATGAGCAGTGGGAAAACCGACACTTTATTAATCTTAGAAATACATAAGTTTTATCAAAACAAAGCTGGAGATCTTGACCACTATATACTTGGATGATTGTGATAGTACCAGACCTGAACAGGATGGAAAATGAACTTCTCATGCTGCACTTTGAAAGCACACTTTCTTTAGATGCAGCTACATATCTGCCCATTAATTCCACATCTCTGCCAGAAGCACTTGAGTTAGCCACCAGGCTACAGACACACATCTTCTTGTGGTCTTTCCTGCAGGTTCCATAACTCTTGTGCCCCATAGCCTAAAGGTGGTTAAGCTGAACTGACACCCCTTTCACATTTCTACCCCCACTCATAAGTCAGACACAGAGTGTTTGTTTTGAAGAGACAATGCCTTACTCTGATAAGCATCTGCTCACAGAAAGGGATTCAGAGTGCGGATGGCTATCATCAAGATGGGAAGAACTTCAAACACAACTCTGTACCCAGCTCCCTTTTTTTTTTTTTAATTTATGATAGGGTTTTAGCTAAACTCTAACTCAAGAACAAATATTCTCATGAATATTTCATGACACCCCACCTGGAGTATTGTATTCAGCTCTGGGGTCCCCAATATAAGATAGACATGGACCTGTTGGAGCAACTGCAGAGAAGGGTGACAAAGATGATCAGAGGGCTGAAGCACCTCTACTATGAAGTCAGACTGAGAGAACTGGGGTTGTTCAGCCTGGAGAAGAGAAGGCTTCTGGGACACCATATAGCAGCCTTCCAGTACCTAAGGAGGCCTACAAGAGAGTTGGAGATGTACTTTTTACAAGAGTGTGTAGTGATAGGACACATGGTGATGGCTTTAAGCTGAAAGAGTGTAGGTTTAGATTAGAGATAGGAAGAAATCTTTTTTGATGAGGGCGGTAAAACCCTGGAACAGATTGCCCAGAGAAGTTGCAAATGTCCCACCCCTGGAAGTGTTCAAGGCCAGGTTGGATGGGGCTCTAAGCAACCTGGTCTAGTGGGAGGAGTCCCTGACCACGGCAGGGGGTTGGAACGAGATGATCACTAATGTCTGTTCCAAAGGTATTTTGTGATTCTATGATTTGTGGCCAATAAATAACAACATAATCATCATCATCCATCATCATCCATCATCATCATCATTACAATGTCATTTAATTTCCTTAGAGATTTTCTATACTGTCATAGGTAAAAATATTGTCTCTCAAGTATTGTATGAAGCAGCTAAGTGAAAAGAACAGATGGGGGAATGCCTTCCCAACCATATAACGGAAGCATGCTGTGTTTTCAAGATGTTATAGGTATCATCAGTTGCCAAACTTGGGAACAGGAAGGGATCTTTCCCTGCAGGCATTTTTTTTTTACCTTTGCCTTCAAGAGATGTCTTCAGGTTAGTAAGAGAAGGATTTTAAACTTCTGTGAGTTGTAATGTTATAATGAATATCTATGGCAGACAAAATTCTGAATGAATGCAGCTCCGGCAATTAGTTATCAATTTAGCATCATTGCTGGTGAGAACCTACTGCTCTGTGGAAAGATAAGAAGACATTCTGGTATTCACACTTGTCCAGTGTATTCTTGCTCTCCCTTAGAGCCAGAGATGACTTGAATCCTGGGGATCAGGGTAATAAGGCACTTTTCTGAATTATTTGGCATAAATGTTATTAGCAGAGTAGATTCAATGAATGACTGATAGAGAGGGGAGAGTGGGGTTGCTGGGGAAATACGGCAGTCAGACAGTCTCATAGAATTCAAAAGTAGCTGTGATCTTGAATCCTAAAATGCATGTCAATAGTAGTGTTTATCTCTCCTGTATGTTTTTGTGATTGCCAGAGCATACCTATTCTAAAGTCTTCCTGGGAATTTCTACAGCATCTGTATTTCTGTTCAACATAATTAGAATGAATTTTATTTGATCTGACAGCTAACTGTTAGTACTGAGACTTAATGAAAAAGATACCTGTACACCTTTAGGGAAAAAATGACTGGGGGTAGAGGGCACCTAGCTAGGGTTACCATAGCCAGCAGCAACAAGGATCCAAATTGTCCAGACCAATAATTTTGGTCATGTTTTGAATATCAGACTGCATGAATGAGTCTAAACTAATCTTTGGTAATAGCGAGAAAAAAGCTGTAAAGCTGTTGCATGTTGACTGTTCATTTAGCAAAATTCAAGGTTCAATTAAATTAGTCAGCGTTTTACAAAATCTAATAATGGAGTGCATATTATGCAGCAGAAATGCTTTCCGTGGACAGACTAATCCCCATTTGTTACAGTCTGTCTTTTTGTTCCTACATAAAGGGATAATTTAGGAATGCAATGGTAAACTATCTAAAGTGGGAAAACAAGATACAGGTGCTCAGTTTTGAGACATTCCTCTCTAACCAGCTTAAGATATATGATAAGGCTACCAGTTTGGATGTCATCTTTTTCCCTCTCTCTTTCCTTTGAATGGAGACAAGTTTTCTATAACAGTACCCGCACAGTCACAGGTCTTTTCTTACTTATAATCCATTGCAAAGGCCCTTAAAACTACATCTGTATTTCTGCATGTATTAGAGATAATAGGGACAGAGAGTATGGTGTTGAGTAGTCTTAGTCTAGCTGTGTTCACATTACATAGCAGCTGGCTTTGAGTTTTATCTGTGGCTCTTGGATAAAAATTGGTTTTGTCATGTTTATTTGTTTTTCTTTCAAATTATCTATATTGAGGTGAATGTTCCATTGGAACCCACTAGAACAACCTTTTTTTTTTTTTTAACTATGAAACTATGACTCTGCAGTATTAAGTCAAACGTCCAAGACTATTCTCTGGCACCATCTACCATGTAATGTTCTCTATGAATACTAAATTATTCTAAATTCTCTTAGTCTCCCAAGTAAGAATTCTACAATCAAATTGTCTACTGTAAATGGCACCCAGATGGTGCTGGTTCCCTAATGACCCTCAAAAACTTTTTGGAGAGGCAAAGGTCGTCCAGACTAAAATAGTGAAGGTCATTCTAAAAATTAATCCATATAGAAGCTGGAAGTTTGTCACCCAGGAATATTCCCGCAAATGCCTAATATAGTCAGGTGGGTATAGCCTGAGTGTTTGTCTTGTATGGATATAGAGAGACATGTGAGAGGTTGAGGGTGTAGAGATTGCTGGGAGAGTGTTAAAAGGAAAAGGACAGAGGGAGCCAAACTTGACACAGCCTTGTCCATACTGCATACTTAGCATCTCATTCTCAGAACCACATCCATGTCATTCTATCATTTTTTATCAGAACTGTGGAAGGGCATTGTCTCAGAGAATGCCAGCTGGCACTGCTCAGAGACAAAGTAGAGAAAGTGTTAAACATTTAAGTAGTATGTCCAATCACTCTGGCTTGATCTCACCTCCAGACTCTATTCTATTTTGCAGTCAAGCTGCTTTGAGGTATCTAAATAGCAGCATTTTGGACACATCATACTATCTCAATTCCCTTCATCAGGATGTCTTACTGAGTGAAGGAATCTGGGTGGCCCTTTGAACATTTTATAGCTTTTTTATTTTGTTTTACCTTAGAGAGATGGACACACTAAGTGCAAGGACACAGGAAAGCCTACAGACATAATCAGAGGAATCATAAAACAGGGAGGTGAGATGGGGTTAGTCTGAGTCCATACTTCTAAAACACAGTAGCAACTGGCACAGTTTTGTTACCACTCTCACTTCCTCAGCAGTCACTCCCAAAGGCCTCATCCTCTCCTTTTTACAAACAAATATATTTTCCTGCATTCTTATAGTAATTCTAAAAATATTAGACCATGAAGCAACAATATTGCAAACAAGTCAAGACAAAGGTGTAAGCATTTTACATACACAATGACACAAAGCTGGGAGGAGTGGCTGATAGCCCAGAGTGCTGTGCAGCCCTTCAGAAGGACCTCAACAGCTTGGAGAGATGGGCAGAGAAGAACCTTCTGAAATTCAACAAAGGCAAGTGCAGGGTCCTGTATCCAGTGAAGAATAACCCTGGGCACCAGTACAGGCTGGAAAGCAGCTCTGTGGAGAAGGACCCGGGGGTCCTCCTGGTGGGCAACAAGCTGTCCATGATCCAGCAGTGTGTCCTTGTGGCCAAGAAGGCCAATGGTATTCTGGAGTGCATTAGGAAGAGCAGGTTGAGGGAGGTGATCCTGCCCCTCTACTAAGCCCTGGTGAGGCAAATCTGCAGTGCTGTGCCCAGTTCAGGAGAGACATGGAGATCCTGGAGTGGGTCCAGTGGAGGGCAACAAAGATGATTAAGGGACTTGAACACCTCTCTTATAAGGAAAAGCTAAGGGACCTGGGCCTGTTCAGCCTCAAGAAGAGATGTCTGAGAGGGGAGCTCATCACTGTATGTATGTATCTGAAGGGAGGGTGTCAAGAAGATGGAGTCAGGCTCTTCTTGGTGATGCCAAGCAACAGGACAAGAAGCAATGGGCAGAAACTGATGCACAGGAAGTCTCACCTGAACATGAGGAAGAACTTCTTTACTATGCGGGTGACCACACACTGGAACAAGATTGCCCAGAGAAGTTGTGGGCATCTCCTTCACTGCAGATATTCAAGAACATTGCAATCCTGTGCAATGTGTTCTAGGATGACCCTGCTTGAGCAGGGAGGTTGGACCAGATGACCCACTGTGGTGCCTTCCAACCTTACCCATTCTGTGATTCTTTGAAACCATGTGAGTCAAGAGAAAATACGTAATGGGTGGCCTGACTCTTGAGAGTAGAATGTACACTGCATTGTTGGTGTTTATTTGGTGTCAGATTATGTTCCTGAGTGATAGGAAGAATGTTTTAGTACCTGTTTACAGAGAATGCTCTGATTGTGAACAGCATGATATTTCTATGTTTCAATAAAGAAAAGTCAAATTTAAAATTCTTTATATCACTATAATTACAAAACTTCCAAGCATATTACTTGAATTTAATTTTAGAATTGCTTGCTCATCAGAATTTTGCTATTATTTCTTCTTACTTTCTATGCATTTATCCTAAAACATATTTAGGGTAATATTTTAATTTTATTTTCCTTAAAATTTCCTGTGTGAATCTTTCTCCGGTGCATTATTTGAGATATTACATGAGGACTTAAGGTAGCTATAGTCTTCGGGCCAAAATGACCTAAGAGATTAAGACACGATGCTAAACTACCAAGAAGCCACCATCAAACATGGAGGATCAGTATTTCAGCAAAAGCAGGTCACCAAAGCAAACCCTTCTTCCTTGCAAGTCTCCTATGACCACTGCTATGGCTAGTTCTGCCTCTTTCTTTTCTACGAACTAGAATTTGAAATCTGGAAGTACATGTGTGTGCTTACAGCCCAAATAATAGTAAAAATTGCTTTTGTTTGCGCATGCAGACAGGGGAATTTTTGAATTTATGGTTGATATATACTGATTGTTGGCTTTCAAATTTATCTCAAGTCTGTAGGTTTCTTGCAAATATATTTGTTCAGCTTCTCTGGAGACACACATAATGAATTGTATCAAACTACTTCTGTGCACAAACAGACAACCTATGTAAAAATCCCAAACCCATAAATTACGAACATTCCCTTGAAAACTAACTGTTGTATTCCTTCTGGTAGGGATCAGAGAAAAAAACCGCTCAAATAAACAAAACTCTGAGAGAACAATCATACTGACAGGTAGAACAAAATGGTCATTAACTATCACAACTAAACGTTCTCACTCAAAAGGGTCTAGAGTCTGAAAATGTGGATATCCAGCCTAAAGAACCTTCCAGGAACCTGATTTTTATTTAGCACATGATCCATTAGCTTTGACACCTTCAGCACTTTATCATTCAAAATTTGACACATTCATAATCACTACTTGGATGTGAAACTCCAATGGCAGTAAATTGGTATTGAAGAGAGATAAAAAAATTATTGAGAATCTTTTGAACAAAGCAACCTTCTGCTACCTGATGTAGCCTGTTCTACAAAAGTGTCACACTTTTTCAATAGGTAGAGAGCCAGCAACAGAAAAAAAACCCAACAAAACAAATCCAGATGAAAATGAAGAGGCAAAGAATTTAAAAACTGAAATCATGATGGTTAATATTGCAATATGACAGTTTGATCTCAGAACATTTTGCAAACAAGTTGCACCAAAGTAGTTTTAATGAATTGTTCATCATGTTCTGTACAGTACCAATTGAAAAACCCTATCACATCTACTATGTCAGAAGGCTAAAGTCTGCTAAAATGAACACATTTACTTTTAGGAAAATGCTTTTAATAATCAGGAATAATTCAGTAAAACTTACTTCAAAGTCAAGGTCCGAATAACGTGATTTTCTTCTCTATTAAGCAGTAAAAAAAAAAGAAAAAAGAGGTTGTATTAACAAGGGGACTATTCACCAAATCATATTAATGAGTCTAAATAACATTCCTGTTTTCCTATCAGGTATATATTAGGTATTCTGTAAGAGGAGGTAGATTTTATCTTGATAATTTAAAATTAATGCGTGACTTTGCATGGTTTATTAGACCAATATCATATTATTTTCCCTGAAAAAACCAGACTGCATTTCACTGGGATGCATGATGTGCATGTTATTTGCATGCAATTGAACCTGTTGGTGTATAAAATATACCTATTTCTATACTTTTGTGGTATTTGAAAATTATCATCATATTTATACTTTTTACACAGCTACCTATACATATCTATGATTTAGATTTTTATAGGTATACAGAAATTGATACTTTCCTACATCAGGCTTGGTACATTGGTACAACTCCATTGATTTTAATGGAATAAATAATAGCAAAATCAAGCCAAAGCCATCTACACTTGCCACAGCTTCAGCTTGTTTGTTTGCAATGACAATCTGGATGGAGAAAGCAATGATTTTGTTTTAAACTTATGATAAATCTGATTCAAAGCATCTGATATAAAGCAAAAATGATTTACTAGTGAAGTAATCACTTGAATAAAATGCAACAGAATATGATTGCTCAGACATATCACAAATAATTTAGCACAGAATTTTTTAGATTATAAACAAAACCAATTATAAAGCCAAATTATATCAAAAAGAAGCAGAAATACTATAAATAAGAGATAGAAATATCTTTTTTCTCCTCTGAGGTTGGAAATTAAATGTCTTGCAATAGATTAAAGAGATGTAGAAAGAAGAAGCTAGGTTGCAAAAGCTGAAAAGAGTGCAAAAAACATGAGATTGGAAACAAATCATCTTCAGGAAGGAGACTACCCCAAAAAAACCAAATAGGCTTACTGCTACAATTTAACCCTAATTTTTGTGGTAGGGTAGGCTGGCTTAAGTCATGGTAAAGGAATTTTTTCAAATTGCACCTAATTTCTTCAGTGAGATACAAATCAAAGTCACCAAGTCAAGAAGAATAATGCTTCTGATTTTGATTTTATTTGATTTAAAAAAACCCTAGGTTTTTGTAAGCTGTTTGGTTTTCCTGAAACTGAAAGGAATGATTTTACAAATCTTTCATTTGTAGAGAGCAGATGATGTTTGGTCCCTGAGCCCTTGATAATACCACTTTGTTACTGCCTGGTTTTGCAGTAAAATTTTAATGCTCCAATCCACAATAATATGAAGAGTATCTCTGTATCATGTTGACACTGATGCCTAAAGGGCTGGGAAGCAGTATCAAAGAACAGTGTAATACAATTAAAACAACCAACAACAAGCTCTGGAGAAGCTATCTTTAATCATGAAGGCTTGATTTAACCTAGCACACTTTAAAGAGAATATTTTAAAACAAATTAAACAACTCTTCCCAACTAAGTGACACGAAAACATGGAAACAACAAAGGTATCAGAGGTAAGAAAAAATATGAGGACGTTATACCGAAATTATTAAAGCAGCTAAATTCTTTCGTTTCACTCATGTTAAGAGGGCCATGGTACAAGTGTACCTTTGACATAGGCCTTCGTCATTCCACAGTAAATCAGCACCTGAAGAAATCTATGTATTTCTGATGAAGAAGGATCTATTCTTAAGGTACAATTAGAGCACATCTACAGCTGAAAAGGCTCAGTGGCTACAAAAGAACAAATATGTACAGCAGATAACAAGGTGAAGTTTACAGGAGTAGCTTTGAAAAATGCTTGAAAAAGCTATTTTTAAGCTAGAGTTCAGTAACAAATCAGATATCATTGAATCGTCTGACTGAGAATCCTAAGTAAAACAAAAATCAGGAAGAAATATGTAGATTGCTAGGTACTGTGGTTTGTAAAATTGGAGCATTTTTATTTTGCCTTAAGTCTGTTTAACCGCAGTGAAAATATTCCTGGTATAACTGAATTATTAGGTTTTGCAGGCAGAAAACTCTATCACTGTTTACATGGCACAAAGACATATCTAACAGACTGCAACATATTCAACTGTGCTATTGTCAGAGAAAGGCAATTATTGCAATTTTGCTGTTAGTTCACACCAGTTATGACCAAAAAGGTCATACCACAGGTTTATCTCAGTGAGGATTTTTCTTGGGCTCAACAAGAATCTAATCACAAACATTTATTTTAAACTCACAAAGTTGTGCTTCACATTTTTGTCATGGCTGCATAGTATGAAATACAGTGCAAGTGCTGCCACAGTCTATTCTCCAAAGACATAAAAAGTATTTAATTGCCACACACCCAAATGGCAGCAGTGAAGTTCTGCAGGTCTCTGAAAACCAAAGGATGCTGGTTATGAATATGATCCTGCAACACTGAAAGTTATTTGCAATATTGTCACTGACACCACTAGGTAAACGATCAAGTCCTCCTGGCTACTACGTAATTGTCTTGAAATGACTGCAGTGTTATTTTTTGAGAGAGGGAACATATTTAGAAACATGAAGTCACTGGAAAACTTACAAGGATAAAAGAGTGTCCCTTCAGTCCCAACTGGAAGTTGACATTTTATTCAATTGTTCTCCTAGTTTCTGCATGATACATAACAAGCCTAAGCCATGAAAATAATTACTTTGTAATTGTATATATACTTTTTTCTTTTATGAAGTTTATTTGTTATGTCTCTTTTGTCTGAGAAAAATGGGGTTTTGCACACATACTTAAATGCTTTCAGAAATCAACCATCTAGCTCATTCTACACTTAAAACTAACAGAAGGCAGCAGCTGCATGGAGTAAGGGGTGAAAATTCCATGCATCAAATGAGTTGCCGAACTGGTAACACCAGTTATGTTTCTTTTAAAAAGCTGTTCCCTTTATGTACCTGGAAAACTGAGAATGATTTTAGCCAACATAAAAATGACACTGGAAGCTGGTGTTTTTTTCAAGGATCAGTTGGAGATCTACTTGAGTATTAATGTTAGTAGAATATAGTATTTTGTATTTGACCAGGTTCTGCTATGATGTTTCAGGTCCAGTATAAAGTTTCTAGTACAGTACCTTCCCTACGTCTTCAGTAGTTTAGGAGTTTCCTTGGGAGGAGCTTATTTTGACATCTAAAATGTGCTAGGGTACTGAATTCCACAATTTAAATAAGTATAACATGACAAAGGAAATTATGTTGTTTATCCCTTTGACATTTCATTTGATGCTCCTGTTTTTTATATTATAGGAGATATGAATAATCATTCCCTATTCACTCCTCAGTCATCTGTTTTCCAAGCTGAAGAATCCCAGCTGCTGGAGAACTGCAAGGAAAAGTAATAGAGGGACTATCTAAAAAGCTGAAGACCCATGCAATTATTCAGTGGCAGGGAGTTAACTTGCATAATTCTGAAAAAAAATAAGGGGGGTGGGTAGGCAGTGAACTGCAAGCCATGCACAATTATAAATCTTCCAAAAAAAAGGTCACACTGGCAGAAGCCAAGAAGCCAAATTGTGCCTGTAAATTGGTGAAATTTCAGAGAAGAGAAGCAAAATGTACTTTTAAGAGGAAAGGATAAAAGAGTGATACAACTTTGTTTAAACATTGCCTCTGGAAGAAGCAAACACATGAGCTTGTTCAGAAACCTTAGAAGGATATAAACACATAAACAAACTGGTCTCGGAAAAATCTGAAAAAAAATCAGAGATCATGTTGGGAATAAAGAAAGTTTATGTAACTGTGCAATGATCTGCAGTGGAAGCCTTTTACTCTAATCTTGAAAGTGAAGTTTGATTATGTATTAAAGAAATATACTGTAAAAAATGCTCTTACATTGATAGAAGACATGATCTGACAAGATTTTTGCCATCTGATTTCTACAGCTCTTTGATTTTAATTGATAGAATCCATTTTAGTAGAAAAAACTCCCCAACCTTCATACCACAACCAAAGTGAAACTCTGTGAAAAAATATTTGCAGCAGTAATTTGTTTTAAATCAATTTTACTTTGTGCTAATCATGTATAGCTTTTCTGTGTAATTCCAGAACAACTTTAAACTCTACTGAGGGACAAAAATAGAATTCTGAAGAATAATTTCCATACACCAGCACACACTAATCTGCTGGCACCAGGAAAGAGCTGCTCCTGCTAAACAACTAATAAAATCTCTGTCTCTGTAAAATGAGAAATGCCTGTTTTTTTTTCCTTATTCTAGTCTGCATTACACCACTACCTGATTGTAGTGGGTTTCTGTGGCTGCGTTTTGGTAGCGGGGGGGGCTACAGGGGAGGGCTTCTGTTAGAAGCTGCTAGAAGCTTCCCCTGTCCCGTGGAGCCAATGCCAGCTGGCTCCAGGATGGACTTCCTGCCGCTGGCCAAGGCCGAGCCAATTAGGAACAAAAATAACACCTCTGTGATAACATATTTAAGAACAAAAGATAGTTGTGCAGAAGAAATTCCAGCCAGGGAAGAGCAGAGTGAGAACATGGGAATAACAACATAGACACCAAGGTCAGTGCAGAAGGAGGGGGAGGACGTACTCCAGGTGCCAGAGCTGTGGCCCCTGCAGCCCGTGGTGCAGACCATGGTGGAGCAGCTGTGCCCCTGCAGCCCATGGAGGACCATCAGGGTGCAGAGACCCACCTGCAGCCCATGGAGGAGCCCCTGCTGGAGCAGGTGGATGCATGAAGGAGGCTGTGACCCTGTGGGAGGCCCAGGATGGAGTGGGGTCCTGCTGGAGACCTGCAGCCTGTGGAGAAGGAAGCCCACGCTGGAGCAGGTTTTTCTGGGTAGGACTTGTGGCCCCTGTGGGGGACCCACGTCAGTACAGCTCATCTGTGAAGGACTGCACCCCATGGAGGAGTGACCCATGGGACAGCAGTCTGGGAAGAACTGCTGCCCGAGGGATGGACTCGCTCTGGAGAGGTCCATCAAGGACTGTCTCCTGTGCGAGGGACCCCACGGGAGCAGGGGAAGGACTCCTCTCTCTGAACAGTGGTAGAAACAACAACTGACCGTAACCTTCATTCCCGTCTCCCTGCACTGCTGGGGGGGAGGAGGGAGAACATACAAGGAAGGGGGTGGGGGTGGGGGAGGTGTTTTTAAGACTATTTTATTTCTCACTGTTTGGCTGTTATCCTGTTAGTAATAAATATAAGTACTATCCCCACTTTGAGTCTTGTTTTGCCTGTGAAGGTAATCAGTCACTGACCTCTCCCAGCTCTTATCTCTACTCATGAATTCTTACCTGTTTTTTTATTTTCTCTCTCCACTGTCCAGTTGTAGAGGGGAGTGAGAGAGCGGCTTTAGTGGGTACCTGGTATCTGGCCAGAGTCAACCCACTGCACTGATTAATTACATCAGATACTCCTAAAACTATATTGCATTGTGCAAAGTATAACTGAAACCAGAGATACCATATTATAGTAAGGACTATAACCATGCTTCCATTAATATAAAGACTTATTATAAGCAGTTTATAATTCACTTTGAGATTATATTTGACATACAAGATCTTAGCCTGGGGAGGATTTTTTCCCAGAACAAATGTAAAGGAAAATCTTTTTTGGCCCTCAGAGATATAAAAGTGGAACGTGGATAGACAGTTTTGATTTAAAATGCCTTTTGTGTGAATATAACTGAAAAACGCCCTGGTTTATGAATAGTAGATTATGTTTGCTATTAGTTCACAACATGAGCTAAACATAAAGCAAGTAAATTTTAATGAAAAAAGTGAAATAGCTTTTTAATGTGGGAATTTTATGTCTTTAAAATATGCTGGCATATTTAGCACATCAACACAGCACAAACATAACTTCAGAGATCTCAATTTAAAACTATACTGGCAAATTATTGTGGCTTGCTGCTCCCTTTTTTTCATAAGGCAGCCTGCATTTGTATTTACTCAATCAACCAAAACCACTTGGTTTGTGTTTCTGAATGCTTTGGGGTAAAATGTAGCATTTCTTAAATGAACAACTACAATATAAAGTCTGCAATATATGCTGCACATTGCAATACTGACTAAAATTTCAGTTCTTATAAAATTTCAGTACTTCACATCTTCAGTTACTAGAATCAGCTCTGCCTGATTCTACTCGCACTCTATAGGGTGACCTGAAAATAAACTGCATCAATTTCTGAAGTCAGAGGAATCTGAGACACTCACGTGAAAGAAAGAGAGGGTTGCTACAGGGCTAGACTTCATTTCACTGACAGTCACAAAATTCGCAAGAGCTGTCTCCACAACTTATTGAAGAATGAAATGAGGAATGGGAGGGATAGAAATCTGAGATACACAATGCCTTAAAATAAATGCAATGTGGAAACAGGATAAAGAAGAAATTCCTGTGGTGCTCGTCTCTCTCTTTTTGTTCTCTCTTATTTTATTTCTCATGTCATAAATCAAAATGACTTCACACCATTTTGCTTTTGTTTTGCCTGATGCTGATACTTTATTGATGAGATTGACTATTTTAACTGTGTATTTCTTCTCTCCTTTCCTTTTTTTTTCTTATTATTATTTTAGACCCTGTTCCTTCCATGCAGATTTTATTTCATTCTTCCGAATACTTTTATTTTAAGCTTATTCTCCATTTCTGCCATATTCCCCCCCCTTTTTTTATGTGTCTTTTTTCTCCTTTTTATCTACACCTTTACTTTTTCTTTGTGTTTCACTATCTTTCACATGCCCCTTTATTTTATCAACTGAACAGTATTTTCTTCCTAAAGTCCCTGTCAGTGATTTGGCCAAGGACCACAGAGTCGACTGTCTTTGAAAGTATTAAGAGCTCTCATGAATGAATACAGAATACAGAAGGATTATTTTGATCACACAATCAACTTACTCCACATAAAGATCTCATAGCAGAAACTGAGACAGAAAAATAAAGAAGGAAGATATGAGACTGGAAAGAGAATTCCAGTCCTTTACATGGCAAATAATTTGTGAAGTCTTGTCCTTTCCTTCCTTTTCTTATAAAGCAGATGATCATTATTCCCTTTAATAAATGTTTCTATTGCCTGGCTTTGCATGTCCTTTGCCTTATAATAGCTTAAAGTCTTTGTCTCCGTTCAGCTCTTTTCCACTTCTGCTCACACTATACTAAGCATAGTTCCCTTGAAAGAACCCTTCATTCTTCTTCCACAAAAGTAATGATACAAGTCTGTTCACACAGTCCAGCAGCAGGTATCTACTCCCTCTTCCATTTTTTTTGCACAATAAAAACAGGTGAATTACTTATCCTGGAGATATGTTGCTCACATCAGGTTCTTCCTCTGCATCTAAACTTCCCAACTTTACTCTGCATCTAAGTAGCTGGGAATGCAATACTTCACTTCAAAGTAATTTCACTTTAATGAGCACATCACTCTGAGTGTACATTTTCAAAACAAAACCCATTCCAAAAGATTGTACTGAGTGTTTTCTTCATTAAAATCAAAACACTTTGAACTGAAGGAGCACACTGCAAGTCACTTTGATGCCAAGGTAGCAAAGCCAGTTCTAATCCATGTGTATAAGGGATATGCAGAAGATTAGCCAGATGTTTGATTACTCCACCTCAGAAACTCTATGATGTATTAATATGCCTGCCTGTGTCTATAATCGCATGGGTACTGTTGGGTACATGCCAAATAAAATAAAAATCACTGATTTGCACATTGTGAATCTGCAGATCCTTAAATTTATACTTGTCTGGGCTATACTTGTATGTAAATATTATAGTATTCTCAGACTATCTTTTGAAAACTGAAATTCTTCTATATAAAATAAAGCATGTAACTGTTACCATCTAAGCATTTTCTTGAGGAAAAAATATATAGATATAGAAGTTTAAGAAGAAAGTTTGTGGCATGCTGTAGGATTCATCTGACAATTTAGGACATCTACATTTTTGATGTTCATGTCTGAACTATTGATTCTGGCTTCCATTATGGAATCTGAAAAGCAACACCTGCACTGAGGCATGTGATTTACTTCATCCTGGAGCAGATGTCTAAAAGTGGCCTAAAAATGGCTATTTGTCTCGACTGACTCTAAAGGGGAGCCAAATATGAAGAGCTCTTTTTCCATTTTATACAGTGAATGCCTAAATTTAGATATCTAATGGTAGAGGTTGATGAATCCTCCCTGCAGAGTTAAAAGTCAGGATATACATTTTTTTTGCTGATACTATAGTTGTGTTCCACTATAAACAGAGTGGAGAGGAAAGCTTCCTACTGCTCCAGATCTTCTTTATAGGTGGTCTAGTCAGGAAAACTGTGGGCAGGATGATCTTGAATGTTCTGCTGCAGGTTTTGCTGCTCCATTCTGTCAGAAAAACTCTGTCTTTGAAAGGTCTTGCAATCTTCTTAAGAAAAAAAAAGTCAGTTGAGCTCTCTTCTTTACTTTGTTCAAGGCAGCAACAAAAGTTAATCCAGCTGGTCGGCTCCATTTTGGAGCTTTACCTCAACCCTTGCTTACACACTGCATATGTAAAAACACAGTCATGTTCTTTGGCTGGATCTGCTTATCAGGATCTGCTTGAGACTCTGATTTTATTCTACATACATTTTTTTTAATGTCCTATCTTCAATTCAGTGCAGCACATCCTTATCAGAAGATGAAGTAATGCTATATCATCAGGTAGAGTTGAGAACCACAAAGGCAGACACAAAAGCCAAACCAGTTCCTTTTATTTCCGATCTGCCCTAATATCTGGTTTTTTTTTCATATAACATGGGATTATGCTGTGTTCAATGAGCTTAAATAACATAACTGTTTACCGCTTCCTGGACCAAAATACAGACTTCTAAACCTAATGCGTTTACCGAGTTGAAAGAGACTAAATATTTACTATCATATATTATTATGTTTTACTACATTTTCTACTACATACTTATTAGTCTTTTCTGAGCATAGAAAGGATATACAGAATAGTGATTGAGATTTGGTGTGTACATCCCATCTTAGAGGTAAACTTTAAATATGATATAAATACAGTTAAAATAAATTTAAAGGAGCAGTACATTATACTCACAGATTTTCAGGCCTCAGGAACTGTAATTTTGTGTAAGATGAAGTAACTATTGTCCCAGTTTTTATAACTTGAATAAGGTCTACCTTTTTTTTTTTTAGGTGTCCTAGATGACATTTGTCAGCAACAGAAAGAAGTAGTATCACCAGAGAGTAATTTAGAGTGGATGGTATGGTGGAATGTACATCTATCTTCTCAAAGAGTTATGAACTTTTCTCATCTATCTCATCCATATGTATACTCTTAACTGGACTGGATTTGAGTCTCTATATCTGACAAAAAGTATCTGAAAGACAGTACTGTAGATAGGTGGGAGAGGATAATACTGGAAGTTGACCTTAGTTACCCTGCTTCTGGGTTGCATTAAATTTGAGAACTCCTGTGTACCACCTGATATCTATTAAATAACGTACGTGAACTGAGGGCAGTTAACTCCTTTAACAATGTAAACTTGCTTTGAAAGAGCCTGTCTGTCTGAGCACTGAGTGGGCAAGCACTTACATTATCTTTTAGACATAATTTTGAAAACTTGTCCGAGCTCATACATATTCGCTTTAACAACCACCAAAACGTGGATCATTTTTGATTACTGCAAATCCCCACACTTCCTTTTCAATTAATTTTTCAGTTAAATCCAGTCTTGTAAAAACTTATTTTGGTACACACTCAATATAAACAGAACTGAAAATATTTCACTTTCAAAGCTTGTAAAGACACCTCTTGAAAAGAAATTCTAAATTCTTTTGCCAAAACTCTCCATAAAACTTCAACTCCATTTTAAAAGAAATATCAGTAAATATGTACCATTTATGAAATATCAGCTACAGTTCCGTGCCTAAAAAATTGAACAATCAGGCTAAGTCTCTGTTTCCCTTCACAGACGGGTCCAAACATTTCAGAGTAATAGCTAATGGCTTCCAGATCGCACATACAGTAGACTTTTTTTCCACCTGTAACTTCTTTCAGAGAATGCATCAGTACCATGTCATTCTCATTTGTCTTTCCCACAAAATGCTGTGTTTCACAATATTTGAAATGCTGGTGAAATTTATTTCCAATTCTTAAGGAGGCCCAAGTATGAAATCAACTCCACCTCACTGCTGGCTTTGCATAAATAAAAGCTTAATAGGAATGGCAGTATTTGATGCTTAGGTCTTAAAAAATTATTTAAATAATTTTCACTTTCATAATGCTTAAATCCCACAGACAGATTGTAGTAATAACTGAAACCCTTTTAAAGGCTTTTCAGTTCACTTTTCCAATCTGACTGGAATCTAGGATACTCTACATGAAGCCCACCTGTACTGATTGCACACATCAGTTGTACCAATGCCTGCACACACATGCAAACAAAACTAGATCAGTAAATGGTGAACTACTGGATGGAAGAATCTAAGATTTACACTAATGAGAGCAGAATCAGACCTATCATATCTGAGACAGATATGATTGTCAGCAATAAAATGGCAAATATTTTCAACTGCATGTGCTTGCAGGTAAGGCCAATGATTAGCACTTGTATCTTGCAGGAACAGTTTTTCTTCTCATAGCAACACAGAATTTTCCAGTGGACTTTACCTGGTAGGTCACGAAATCCTCAGCAGTCGTGTGGAATGTTAAATCTCCAGAACTATATTTTTTCATACAGACTGGTTCTGAAACTTTAGTCTTGTTTTCTAGGTATAAACACTTCTGATAATAAGAGAAATATGAACAGCAGTGTATGATCCCAAACAACAGTTTATACTGAATTAAAACATTAGCTTCACCCCTTAGACACAAGACACAATTTATTGTCTTATCATATAATTAGAACAACAGAGCATGCAATTTGTTTATGCACCACTGACCTCTAAAGAGCTCATTGATATTGTGGATCCAGTTTCACTTCTTGATAATCCTGCATTGTCATCCAGCTCTGAGGCAATGAAATTCTTCACTGCTGTGCGGGGCTCAAATGGCAAATTCTGCATATGTTCTTGGGTGGGAAGATGCTGGTCTAAATTGATATTAAATTGGTCCATTACAGAGGGATTCATATTGAACTCTGGATTAACTTTGTAGTGCAATAGCCTTTCATGAGGCAAGGTATCCATGCCTATATTCATTTTGCTCTCATCTTTCAGTGATGGCTGGGTATTTACTGAGCCCCGGGGCATGACTATATAATCGCTTTCTATCATCCGTTCTTGAGGATGGACTATGTCCATATCTGCACCTCTCAAATTATCATCAGTGCATAAATACACAGTCCTCCGCAACTCACTGTTGTCTTTTTTTAAGCACTGATTGGCCAGTTCACTCATACTCATAGGCATGTGGAGCCCTGTTGGTTGCTGGATGATGACTTTGGAGATGATGTTTCCAGGCAAGGTTGAATAGCTCATTCCTTCAGGGTTTGGTCCCTTTTCCTCCTCTTCATCATTCAGTGAAATTCTAGAAAGTGTTCCTGTTATAGTAGCTGCTCTGCAAGGTCCAATGTCTTTATGCAGAACTGTGGGTCAGAGAAAAGAATTCTTACAGCATGAAACCATGTCTACCTAACGCTACTTGAGGCTTTATTTAGCAGTGCTTCCTTTACGAGTGCGTCTTCTTAAATCTTTTTCTATCCAATTAAAAACTCTCATTTTATAAATAATTTTTGGAAAGTGCTTTTGTGTGGCTTTTTTTGTTGCTGTTTTTGTTCTGTTTTGTTTTTTTAAATCAACATCTCTTAATCTGCTGTATACAACTGACACAGATTTCTGACTAAGCTTCAGTCATTTATATAAGTTAAAACACTCCTTCACTTATTCCTACTGCCTTACATAGATATTAGGTGACTTACAGCTTAAGCAAAAGCCTGCCATGTGGAACTCATTAAGGGTTTTCAAAAAAAAAAATACTATGACATCTACTGCCATTATTAACTCCACATAACCTCCCAGAAAATGTCAAACAGATTGTAAGGCAGAATCATTTTGTCAATCCATTGTAATGACCTACCATAAGATTACAACCATGAGCATGTGTTCCTGAGCTCCCAAATGTTCCTTTTCACTGGCTTTTAAAAACTCTTCTCTGTTAAATTATGTTTCAAAAAGAAGTGACGAAAGAATTACCACACTAGGAAGAAATTCCATTGGTATAAGAAAGAATATTTTGCTGCAGCTGAAAAGGTTATAAAGGATATAAACATGTTTTATAGAAGAGTCATAACCCACTTTTACTGGGCTTATTCCAGCTAAGTGCAAGGATTTTCTGGTCCTGGTTGAAAATATTTTAATTCACACCAGTGCTAGTTTGCACAATAAAATCCTGCTCATGGGTTGAGACAGAAGGACAACTTGAAGTATCTCAGGTATTACATTTACATCCCTTCCAGCTGCCTAAGGGCTCTGATGACCCAGATCCCCCAGTGCCTGTCAGTTCACTGCCTTCTTCCACAGCAAGCAGCTTATAAGGCACCCCACTCTCCTATGTCACAGTAACTCTCATTTGTCCATTATGAAGAAAACAATTTGCTTCTAAACAGCGGTGCACAAATACTTGAATTCAGTGGCTGCTTCATTGCTTCCAGTGACACTTGTTAAGACATTTCAAACAGTGACCTATTCCAAAATTTTTCATTAAAAGAAAGTGAGTTTAAATGCTTATCTAGTAAAGCCTGCTCATAACTGGATTCAAAGTCCGTCTCCTTAAGGATGCCTCTGACAAGGCTCCCCATACTGCAGCGCTATGTTATCAAAGGTAAGAAGTAGGAGCTACGTGGATATCGATTTTTGTCTGCACTGGATGGTGATAGACACCCATTTGTGTTACAATGTACTATCCTATTCCCTTCAAAATACGTGTGCATATTAAAACTGATCTATAGGGAAAAACTAATATCGCAAGAAACTCAATTGGCAGTTTTTTAAAGGTGGGTGACTGGAAACCCAGACTTTACCTTAATGAGATCAGCTTTCTTGGCTCCCCATACAGCCAGCAAAGAGAGAGTGTTCCCCAGGTGGGTGATGCAGAACTGCTAAGTCAGGCTTCTGCCCTGACTCACCCTGTGAAAAAGACACCCCCTCTCTCTTTCTCTCTCCATTCACTGAAAACCGAGGGTGTCTAGGCAGGACTGCTGCCCTAGGAAGAACTGTCCTTTGGGAATATCTCCTAGATTTAAAAAGTTCTGTAGGGTTTAAATGGTCATTTATTTCACACTGTACTTTATTTAACAAGGTTGGCAAATAAATTCCTGAAAATGTGTTATTTTTAATATGTGGAAACAAACATAGCTGACTAATTAAAGATCATACCACTGAAATATCTTTAAAAAAAAACAAGTTGAGGAATAAAATTTAATTTCCTTAAACTATTGTGGATTTCACTCAGAGTCCTAACAAACCCTCTTTAAAATTAACACAAATTGATGCATCCTTCATATACATAGCTGTTAAGATACCCTATTTTTTGTTTTGCTATAGCAAAATGATTGTATCACATTTGCTTGTGTAATAGGGCAAGGAAAGTTTAACATGTTAAGAGAGGTCTTCTTTCCAAAACTATTTGCTTTCCAATAGACAATCACACTTTTCATTACTTTTCAACTGCTGAATTCTAGTTAAAGGCTTTTGTAAGAATATGAAATAAATGTATTCATACAGTGACATCACTTTTCACTTTTTCTTTTTGATTGCATTTATAAATATTTTCTCTAAGTGGTTAAACCCTGATTTTTTCTGGTTTTCACTTCATAAGAAACTAGTACAAATCTTCTTTTTATTGGCTAAATATTCTCTCAATGGTCTTACCTGACCGACAAGCAATGTCCACGTCCTTCTCAAAATCAGTCTGTAATGAGAAACAATGAAACAGAAAAGCCATTATTAATTAAAAAATAAACCACAATACATTTTTGGCAACTAGCGCTTCCAGAATGTCCTACTTACAGGGTCACAGTCTCTTAAAAGTGGTTTCTTGTTGCTGAGAAGGTGAAGTGTATTGTTTTACAACAGCAGAGCTTTACAAAGTTTCCTAAAGTATAACTGGGTGGTTTTCAAAGTATGCTGCCTGACCAGAAAAAATAAAATAAAATAGGTGCAAGTAGAATATATAATTTTAATAAAATGATACAGTGTGTAGTTTTTAATGTATATGGAAGAATAACTTCTACATCTCATCTAAGGATCTTCTTTAAGAAAGCTTTTCATAGTAATTTTATGAACAGAACTATGAAAAATAACCTGCATACAAATTACTGTGAATAAGTGTAACCCAATTAGTCCACCCTGTTTGTAACATCATTAATCTGTTATGACATGCTTATTTGTAATAAAACATTCTGTCATTCCTTACTACTTATGTAATCACATAAAATTTTTTAGTTGTAATAGAACAACTATTATTTATTTTATTGTGCAAAAATTAATTGTAAGAACTTAGAATGGATTTTAAAAGTTGGAAATCAAAGCACACTTTTCCCAGTTAAACAAAACTATTTATTCTGTTAGAGAATTCAATTAATTTTTGTTTTATTTCCACAAGAAGTTTATTATATGCAAAATGTTCAGTAAAACAGATCTCTTTCTTGCTTGTGGAGTCCAAACATTAAATTATTTTTTGAGTCATAATTTTTGAAGGGCATCTGCTTGATGAGTCTTGCATTTTTGCTGAGCCTTGCATATTTTTAGGGCCTGATTCTGTCCCCATTATAGTCAATGATAAACTGTTGTTGAAAGTGAAGAGACCAATATGTTGTCTTAATATACTACCCAACAATATTAGTAAATCCAAATTGACACACTGAGTTATTCACTATCTTCTTAATTCAAGACACTAAGTAGATTCCCCCTGTAGAACCTCTAGCGCTTTCTCTGACTTAGTTTGAAAAGAACATTTTTCAAGGCCTCATGAAAGGAAGACTCCCAAATGCATCAGCACTCTTTACATCGACAGTAGAAAAAGTCACGATATATAATTAGATTATTTTCATATTCTTGTGTAAAACTCTTTTGTCCTAAAGAGCACTAGTGGAAGATATTAATTCACTGTGCTCCACTAAATAATCACACCAGTAATTTAAAACTTACTAAGAGATTTAAGCAAGCAGATAATGACCTAAACAGACTTATGCTTTAAAACTGTGTTAATATTTCAGCTATGCATACCTGCCACATACAATACAGTAAGCTTTTGCTTTTGTCTAGGAACACTAAATTCATAGTCAAAGAAGAAAATAAAAGCTAACCATGATTTGAGCATGTCCATTAGGAAAAGAACTTGAAGAATCTGCATTGATTGGATCCTGGCAGTTTCTCAGCCGACATCTGAATGCATCTTGAACCTGTGAAGACAATACTTTATACCTACTGATTCCTGTAGCATAATATAATCTACTCCTATTAGAGATTTAATTAAACCATATGGAATGCAATGCATGACATTTCTCTACCACACTTAATAAATCGGAAGCAATAAACATAAATGTCTATTTCTGCCATTTTTTACATTTGCTATATTTTGTGGCTGCTACAAATTCTGTCAGTCTATCACATCAAGAACACAGAATTAGATTCACCTATTACCAGAATTAGCAAGTGATGACATAGTATTCAAGCCAAATCTTTCTTAGTGATAGTATTTGGCTTTGTCTTCTCATTCATTTTGGTACAGGTCTGATAACAGGATTAATAGATACACTGTTAACCATCGCAAAATAAAATGTATCTTCTGGTTGATCAAAATAAGATTCTTGAAAGACAGTTCTTATCAGTTAGTGTAATCAGACACATGGTGCTCTCCTTTAAAGAATAAGTCTATTTGAAAGATACTACCGATTCAATCATAACCTCTAATTCCACATATAGGGAATCTGCATATTCTCTAGGAGTAAAACTCAGATCAGAGAAATATCTTCAGTGTGAGCAAAAGAAGGACAGTGGACTCTTTGCATAGCAACAGATTTCTTGAAAGTAGAAAAGGAATTCCTCAGAAATTGATGTTTACTTATATGATCCATAAAGTAAATTTGAAGACTTGTCCCTAAAATACAATACATTTGAGGAATTATCTTGTCACAGGAAGGGCTATTTTTACTTCCATTTTGGGCGGAACATATATCTAAAGAAATACTATTATGCAACACTTCTGTCAGAAAGATGTGGTTCAACAGAGAGGCACATTCAAAAGGAAAATGCTGTTCCTGTTTGCTGACAGTAGAATGCAAATATATTTTGCTGCTTTTTCAGGTGTACAACAATAAGGACGGCAAGGCAACTTTTGGAATCTAAAGTTTTACAACGTGAATGTTGTTTACAGAAACACAAGTGTCCATATTAGATATGTATAATCATACACCTGATTGCAAGAATGACTTGGAAAACGGGAACTTGATTGGGTGATCTTCAATCAAAACAAACTGATATAATTTCTTGTTTGAAAATGAAAGTATCCTCGATGAAATGCATATTAAAAACTACATTAATTTATTATCTGTAAAAATTACTTGATGTCATATTCAGAATAATCAAAAGCGAGACAATTTCTTCTACTCATGGACATTTTGTGAAGAGCAGAAGAGGATAAACCATTAATTGTTCATGATGAGAAGCTGTCCCCTTTCAGTCCATCATGTTCTATTGCAAGTTGTTTAGGAGCTATCACAAAAGGGAAAATGAAGTAGAAAAAAAATAATTTTGTAATTATGAAGCATTATTTTAAAGTGCTCAACCATTAAATGAGTAAGAGTGTTCTGCAGTCTTGATAAGTGACTGCTGCAGGTGGAGAAAGCTGAATATAGAGCAGAAAGAAGAGTGAAGCAAGGTGGGAAGGTTTGGATTAATTTAAAAACACCAAGACTTACCACATGTGGTAATTTAAAGTGTGCTGTATTGAGACTCAGATTTTGATTTTAGGCACTACACTCGCCTTGGTTTTCTGTGTGTTTGATGTTAATTTAATTTGGCATCTCCTAGTTGCTGCAAATTTAATCCAAGTCTTCTCTCAGTTTATCAATGCTGAAGTTAGGTCACACTTCAGAGTTTTATGCACTTGGATAAGCACTGGTACAGTGAATTGACAAAAAATAAAATAAAAATTCCCTCCAAAGCATCCCCAGCTGTGCTGAATCTGATCTCAAGGCTTATGATGTTTGACTCCAAAGCATTTTTACTTCAGGACATACTGTTTGATCTCACTCTGTGCAGTAGGCCTCCTCATTTTTGGGACACTCTGTTCATAGAGCTTTCCCAGTTCCGATAGCTCCAGAGATCTCAAGATTTTCACATCCTTTCACTATCTTCTGTATTTAAGCAGCGAATCTTAATTTTAGGATCCTCTTAAATACGCATGCGTTTCTGAAGTGCAAGCAGCATATGATTTGAACATGTTAACAGAATGTCAAATGTAGCCGTATTCATCATATTGACATATGTTGCAATTTCTAGGTGTCCTCGCCCAAGTCAGAAACAAAATGGGTGAACTTTCTAAATACCAGCTTAGTTTTCTCAAACTGCTTCTTCAGAATTGTTGTTTGAGTATGTAAAGGCTGTGCTGTCTTTACATTTTATACATTTTACTTTGAAACATAATCTTGTTTTCCCTCCCTTCCTTTTAGCATCAAAATACAAGATTTTCTTAGAGCCAGGCAGAGCAGGAGAGACAGATGTGATGAACATGCAGATACCAGGGAAGTGGTTTCCTTAGCAACGGTAACCAGCTCCAAGCTTTTATAACTTACCCTCGCCCTACTCATGTACTTTTTATTTTTCTCCTGCAATATAGAAATGTGGGCTCTAGACACCAACGATGCATTTAATCCAAATGCTCTCTACTCCGCAGAGCACAGCTAAAGAAGAAAATACACATGGATTCCTCCCATCACCAGAATTAAAAGGAGTTACTGAGTGTGATCCAAATCAGCTTTACAGCATCTTGTGTTCAAGCAGATCAGGCAAACTATTTTGCTCAGATGAAGAAGCTTCGAGGCTAACCTGTTGTAGTGGGTTTCTGTGGCTGCGTTTCAGTAGTAAGGGTGGGGAGGCTACAGGGGGGGCTTCTGTTAGAAGCTGCTAGAAGCTTCCTCTGTTCTGTGGAGCCAATGCCAGCCTACTCCAGAACAGACTTCCTGCCACTGGCCAAGGCCGAGCCAATTAGGAGTAATCGTAACGCCCCTGTGATAACATATTTAAGAACAAAAGATGGTTGTGCAGAAGAAATTCCAGCCAGGGAAGAGCAGAGTGAGAACATGGGAATAACAACATAGACACCAAGGTCAGTGCAGAAGGAGGGGGAGGATGTACTCCAGGTGCCAGAGCCGTGGCCCCTGCAGCCCATGATGCAGACTATGGTGGAGCAGCTGTGCCCCTGCAGCCCATGGAGGACTATCGGGGTGCAGAGACCCACCTGCAGCCCATGGAGGAGCCCCTGCTGGAGCAGGTGGATGCATGAAGGAGGCTGTGACCCTGTGGGAGGCCCAGGATGGAGTGGGGTCCTGCTGGAGACCTGCAGCCTGTGGAGAAGGAAGCCCACGCTGGAGCAGGTTTTTCTGGGTAGGACTTGTGGCCCTTGTGGGGGACTCACACTGGTACAGCTCATCCGTGAAGGACTGTACCCCATGGAGGAGTGACCCATGGGACAGCAGTCTGGGAAGAACTGCTGCCCGAGGGATGGACTCGCTCTGGAGAGGTCCATCAAGGACTGTCTCCTGTGCGAGGGACCCCACGGGAGCAGGGGAAGGACTCCTCTCTCTGAGCAGCGGCAGAAACAACAACTGACCGTAACCTTCATTCCCGTCTCCCTGCACTGCTGGGGGGAGGAGGGAGAACATACAAGGAAGGAGGGGGGGGGAAGGTGTTTTTAAGACTTATCTCTCACTGTTTGGCTCTTATCGTGTTAGTAATAAATATAAGTACTATCCCCACTTTGAGTCTTGTTTTGCCTGTGAAGGTAATCAGTCACTGACCTCTCCCAGCTCTTATCTCTACTCATGAATTATTAGCTGATTTTTTTTCTCTCTCCACTGTCCAGTTGTAGAGGGGAGTGAGATAGCGGCTTTAGTGGTTACCTGGTATCTGGCCAGAGTCAACACACTACACCTCTCCTATCATTCTCTTTTCTGTAACACACACATCACCATCTTCCAGTGCCCAATAAGATGTTTAAACAGCAAGGTGAGGAAAGAAAAACAGCCCTGAGCTCTCTGGGCTAAGAAGACAACATAAAGCAGTAATACCTAACCCTATTTTGCATGTTTTCTTCCAAAATTTCCAAATGGTCTATAAGAGGTCTTATGCTTAAGAAGTATTATATTTATTTGAGAAGTAAGGAAACAGAAGTATAGAAAGATTTAATTTCTTTCCAAAAGACACTGAATTGATGCCAGACAGAAATAGATGACACATAGTGCCGACTAAGTCAAACACTTAGTTGGCTTCCTAATGCAGCCCTGTCACACAAGATCTTCAATACAGAGTACTAGAGAAAGTAACAAATGTTTCCATCATTTATGTTTATATCAATATAACTAAGAGGAAAAATGGGGATTTTACATATAATTGTAGAACTCTGTCTTTTTTTTAATGTAATGACGATAAAGGCATACTAAAGCAGGGCTGTCCTCTTTGTTTGAATTTTATGGTGGTATATTCCACCCCATTTTTTTTTTTCCTGACAGTCAGAATTATTGTTTTGCCTGTGCCGGCACGCTATAAATATTAGATCAATCCTGTAGGCTATAACTGAGATAGCTTTGTAGCTTTCATCAAGAGTGACAAATACGTTGGCAAGGTTTCCCTGACAGGCACTGGCAGAGCTAAATGCTTTTGCAGACAACCAAAAGTAACAGACTATTCTTTCAGCTGGAAGGAAACCTGGGCAGTGCAAAGACAGCATTCCACACTCTGCAAGATGGCCACTGTCTTGGCCTAAGGGTCTCTGGAGCTAGAAAGCCAGACTCTCTAGAGCCAGATTGAAACATAGCTTACAGGAGTTACAACTCTTTCTGTGTAGTAGCTTGTTGCAGTAAACAGTTATGTCTTTGATGCTGCAATTTGAACTAAGTGCAGACTTGAAACAAAAATTGTTTCAAGTGCATCAACTTTTACTCCTCTTCTTGAAGACATTTCTATTACTTTACTTTTCCTGTATGAAAAATATTGCTTTTGTTAATTCCTCAAGTGTTTTGTCCAGTTTGCAATTTAAATATGGAGGACTAAAGAAGATTCATTGTGTTCTGTCAAATAAGAGGTCAATCAGCAATATGCTTAGGCTTCTTTGTCTTCTACCACCATCACTATTATTAGCTTGACTGGAGATAGTATACTGATTAGAGAATAAGTTGTCTCTGTACATTTACTGCTCCCTAAGTTGGCAGGACTGAAGAAAAACTCCTCCTCCTTTTTGACAAGGGAGAACCCAGACAAACCTTAGTGTTTTTTGGACCTCACTGGGAAATCTTCTCATGAAGTCATTTTTTTTAAATACCGTGTAGATAGATTATTTACCTGTTTTATCAATGCCTTTCTTCTAGAATCTCAGTGTTAAAACCAGGATGAGTAACTGCTGAGACTGACTTGCTGGAACAACTCCTCTCAGAAGTTAAAGGGAGTAATGATTCTTTGCAGTTAGATTTTATATATCTCTATATCGATCTCTCTCTCTCTCTCTCTCTCTCTCTCTCTGTGATTTGCTAAAAAAGCAGCAAATAAAATAAACCATAACTACTGATTGCCTACACATAAACAATGAAGATTCTAAATTCCTGTATGAACATATTTATAACCACATATTTTTGCATATTGCTTGCACTAGAAACAGTGAGTTAAAACTGGTTCCAGTCAAGGTATCCTATGCATTTGAAAATTGAGTTTACTTATAGAAGAGACTAATTCCACCTCTATCATCACAGTCCTCTCTGCAAGTATGGTCAGACAAGAATGTTTCTATGAGCACTTCAGCACTGTCAAAACATTACCTGGGAATGAAGCATTGCAGCAAAGAGCTGTCATTAGAGTAAGAAACCTGTCTTTAATTCAAGGCTTAAGGAATTGTTGGAAGATGTCTGTTGATTTTCGTCTTTCATCATTAGTCAAAATACATTTTTTCCAAATAATCTTCTGCATTACTGCACTGATGCAGGTTTCAATGTCTGACTTTTAAATTTTTTTATTTTATATTTTATACAGTGCTGTGCTATGTTACATTTAGAATTTCTCATGAATTTTCGTCTGTTTTTCGACAAAATGAATGACATCAAAATCAAAGGCTGTGTTGCTGTCTCTCTGAATCCTTACAAAGGACACGAGGAAATGGAATTAAGACACAAGGAAATTGAATTAGAACATGAGGAAAGAGAATGAACAGGGGAATTCAGATTGGACACTAGAAAAAGGTTCTTCACTCTGAGGATGGTCAGTCACTGGAACATACTTCCCAAGGGAGTGGTCACGGGACCAACCCTGTCAGTGTTCAAGGAGTGTCTGGACAGCACTCTTAGTCACGTGGTTTAGTTTCAGGAAGTTTTGCAAGAAGCAGAGAGTTGGACTCGATGCTCCTTATAGGTCCATTCCAATCTGAGATATTCTATGACTCTGTGAAACATAATGCTGTCATACTGCTTTGGTTTTGAATGTTTCACATGCAACCTGGAACTAAATATATATATTTTAAAACAAAAAACTGTTCCCTAGGACAGTAAGCGGGAGGTAGAATGCACTTTCTAAGCTAATTAATAAATCCCAGTGGATACACAAATTTCATAGACAGCAAAACCAGTATGAAACCACTATTCTTTCTACTGAAAATAGGTGCAGTGTCTTGCCATTTTACTAAAAGAATATGTGAAATGATGACTTTCAGATTTACAGATGATACTACCCTCTTTCACAGATGTAAATCTTATGGGGAAAGAAAATGCTGGAGAAAATAAGGGTATTGCAAGACAGTTCTAGACAAAATAGATTTGTCTTGAGTATTATCTTATTCTGCACATATTTTTATCCTGAACAAAAAGGAAAGTCAAAAGAAGAAAAAAAGAAAGAAAATGTATTAAAGGAGTAAGCCCTTTCCAACGGGAAAGCTGATAAACTAAGAAATACAAACGTCCATTGCCTTTCACAGCACGACTAAAGGTGAAGGAATCAGCAGAACGTAAGGCGCCAATTTCTGCAAGTTATTGATTTTTTCTTTAAAAATTGAAAACTTAAATCTTTGATAAGATAATCACCTATGTATTCTGTGCAGGATAGAGATATAAAGCTCATGTAAAGTGGTGCAGTACTGAAAGACTTGAATAAATTATGTTATTCATAATTATTTTTATGAATATACTAAATTTCAGTGTTTAAAGGGTGTCAGTGGTGGAAAGGGAAACCACTGTGTGAGATTCCTCACTTGGAGTTGACAAAAAACCCTTTTCGAAACATCTTTCTGGTTGTTTTAGTCCTGAAGTGCTTTCAAATAACTCGTCAGTCACAGGGAACCATGCTGGACAGTATAATTTGGTTTACTGGTGTGGTAAATATCCTGAAGCTGATAAATGACTAGCCCACAGATGTGATAGTGGACCAGGATACTACTCTCCAGTCCAGCTCCACCTGCTCATTTTTGATAGACAGCCCCATTACTACAGATCTGCCAACAAAGCTGTTATGCTACTACTCTCAAATCCATCTCAATAAAAATGTGGGGTTAGTTAGCAGGTTAGATAGGTTAGAGAAGCTGTCACCAGAGCCGGATTAAAGAGCACTTGTGTAGGAGTTCTGCCCTCAGATTTCAGTGGTGATGAATCCTGAGGCAGGTGGCACTGAGCTGTGAAGGGCAAGCCAGGGTACTGGCTTGTCCTCACTGTTCTCAAAGCACTCATCTGTCTTCTTCCTTGCTGCTCCCATAACTTTAGTATGTACCTGAGTTTGTAGAATGGTATATCTTCATGAATATAACACATCATCTCCTTGTGGCCTCTTTCAGGGACAGTATAAGCAGAAATAATTTTGTATTTGAATCTGTTTTACAGAGTGTAAAAATCCATAGCTTTTTGTCTTCAGAAAGGCATTTGCATTCACATTTCCCTATACTCACAATACTGGGGAAGCCTAACACTTGAAAATAAACTGTACTTGGGATAGATCAAAAGACACCTTGAATTAAGTTGGTACAGTTTTATACTGACATTTTGCACTTGGCATTAACTGATCTTCCCTTCTCTCTTTCACTCATTCCTATACATCTCACCATAAAATACCTTAGTCTTTCCATGAAATATATTTCTGCAGAGTAAGTTCTATATAACATTAAAGAGAGTTGAGAGATTAACAGGAGCATAGCCCTTTAGAAAAACCGGGAAGCCATTCCTCACCTCCCTTCGGAGAATACAATGGACCATGACAATAACAAAGCCTTGTAACGAATCAAATACTGCAAAAAGTATCTGAAATAATATTGATCTTTTGTCTGTCATGGCCAGAACTGCAGACATCCAAGTCAGGGCTAGAAGTGGCAACACCACACAGGAACTCCAAAGGGATGCCCTATTGAAAAAGAGGAGAAAAGCAGCGTTGTAATATTGTAAAAAATTAATGAAAGCTCACTATTAATATAAAATATATTTAAGGATTTTTTAAATCAATTTAACTTGAAAATCACAAACAAGAATGTAACATTCATACTTTATGTTCTATAGAATATCCTGTATTCAGTTAATAAACACAGTTGCAATTTCTTTATTTTTTGTTTAAAAGTATTTAAATGTGCTTAGCACTATATACAGTGTTATAAAACACAATTTCATCATCAAACTATTGTCTCACATGCACTGTAAAAGATTTGTAACAAGAAGATGTAAATGATCAGGACTAACATGGCATTACTGGCGGTGGTGGCTGACAAAGCTGTTGTTGAAACTACTCCACACTTGGCACATTTGAGCGTCAAACCGCTATGAGGCTCACTCATCTGACTGCAAACAAACAGAACACCCACAAAAAGAACAAAATATTGAATTGTCACCAAAAAACGTTGCTACTGAAATTTAGCTTTTAAATATGACGTAATGCAGAAAAAGTAAGTAGGTTTATTCAGAATGAATGCTCTATGTTGTTGCAAAACTGTACTTTGTACTTTACATTATTGTTAGCTTTAAATGTTAATGCTATGGGGCTTCATTTCATGCAAACTCTATTTCTTCCATTTAAGCTAAAAAAGGCCCCAAATATCCAGTACTGCTCAGTACACTGAAGTAAACATAAGCACATGCTAGGGTAGACACACAAAGTGAAATCCCTCTATTCAGACCTGCTAAAAGACTGTTGCATCCAAACTTGCTGGAGAAAGAGTATAAGACACATAAAAGAGGAGTGCAAAGTATGAACCATTACAGAGCATTAATAGGTAAAGAAAACTGCAAAATTTATTCAAGCTTCAAATCAGTACATATAGCACTGTATAGTCAGATTTATACTAGTGACCTGCACAGCCCACTAACATCTGGAGTGGTTTTATTCATGCCATGTGAAGGTCTGAATACAGGGCTTGAAATGTATGGAATCTGATGAAATAAATATCAGTTGGTACTATAAAAAAGTGTGACCTGTTCCGCTTCTTAATAAAACACAGTACACAAGCATTAAGCTCAAAGCATTTTGTACGGACAATTGTACCTTGGCACCTGTCAGAAGAGTTAAAGGGCAAAACCAGGAATTTAAGTTTTCTTTTTCATATAGCATGCATTCAATGTCCCGACACAACTAAATAGATTTTTGCTATTCCTTCTCTTTCTGCTATCAGAATCAGGAATAACCGTAACTGACTGAGATGCAACAGGAAGGGTGCTTTACCTATTCCCATCTGGAAAGTGATCAACATGGTGAAGATAGGTTTTGTTTCCCAGTTATTTCAACCAACAGAACTGTTTGTTATTGCCAAACCCAGCATTCCAAGACTTTTAACATACTGCCCAAAACAACATTGAACTCCGATGTGTTGCATTTTGATAAACCAAATGAAGAATTTCCATTAAAAAGTGCAGTATATTTCCCATAAAAATGCAGTTTCTTCTGTACAAAACCAGTGTGAACTCTGATCTTTTATAGGATGATTGTGGGGTGTGAAAATAACACACCATTTACAACAATTAAAGATATGCATTAAAGAATGAACTAGACAAATGCCTCAGGTAAGCATAAACTAAGCTTGGGAAATTACCTTTTGTCTTTGCCTGGCAATACTTCAACATTATCAGACTGGATTATTCTTTTTACCTCTAAAAACCAGCTTTGAATCTTGCAAATAATAATAGAATTTCATATGTATATAACCCAAATACAAATTTTCTGGCTGGATCTATATATATGCTACATCTTTTGTCAGGAAAATGATTGAGAACATGACTTAGATCCATCACCATTTTTTTTCCCCATGTGTTTATTCTCCATATGCTTATTAAGATGGTAAAAGGCACATGGAGTTAGTATATTTTGCCCCATTCACTTGCTTTAAATCCTACACCTGAACTTTTGACAAACATAAGCCCAATATTTGCCAGAAAGAATGAAGTTGCCTTTCTGAGCATGGCTGGCAAGAGATACTTGAGAAAGGAGTGACGATCACTTTTTTAGTGGAGGTCAAAGGCTGAACCAATTTCCATGTTCCAAAGAATAACTCAAGAGATATCATCTGCCAAGCAGTATCAAGGAATGCTGTTGCCAAACCACCATCTCATACTATCATACAAGTTAAGATTGTTTCTCATTACGGTATCTACATGTTCTCCCAGAATAACTGGATTATTTGTGACAGAATAATCTTTACTTTATCCATTTATTTTAAAATTAAATTATTTTTTAAGTAAAATATTTCTTTATTAAGTTGCGTGACTAGCAAGCAAGTTATTTGTTTCATGAGGAAAATAAAGTATAAGCAAATAGATTTCTATGGCCTACAATTGAGTAGCTGGAAAAAAATACAGCTAAATCTAAGTTTGAATACCTGTACAAAATGTACAAAGCCAAACCTGTGGCTGCTCCAACTCCTTATATCACTGGAATTAGAACATATGTGAATTTGAATTGGTGATTACTAAGTCGTTGCTACTTTTGAAATAATTTGGGTAGTTTTGTAACATTATAGATTTCACTAGTGTTATTACAGAGTTAGGAATGCTGATGGAACAACACAGACAAAAAAGTAAGGTTAAGAAATTACTACTTTCTAATGAAAAAGTAGGAAAATGGAAGAAATAAAATTAAACCTTTTGGTACATGTTTCTTAGACAATGGTGAAAGAACTGAAAACCAGAAAGACTTAACTGAATTAATATTAAATAGAAATCACACCAGGTGAAGTATTTATCATAAATGTACTCATCTAACTAATGAACTGGACTTATTAGGAATGCTACTGTTAGTTACAAGGTAAAATAATTAAAAGTGAAACTGCAATAAATTTACCCACAGCAGTAATACACAGTAAAATGAAGATACCATTGCTTATCATTGTTAGCAATGCAAATATTGGTGGAGTTAACTACAAGCTGACCCAAAATACAATACTAGAAAACTTAACTGTAAAAAATCGTTATTCAAAGTATAAATATAGTTTCATAAACATTAAGAAGGTGATGATGGACTTGTGAAATATTTTTCTCCAACATGCAATGAATCTAGGTTTGCTGCTGCGGTACTCCAAATCATTGTCATCCACTGAAAAACAGTTTCCGATGCCACCACTGTCATAATTCTTTCTTCTCACGATAACAAACAGAATTTGAATGTAAATGCAAGTAGGTAATAATACTACATTTACCTTTTTATATTTTCCACTTTTAAACAATTTTTTTTTTTTACTTTGAAATTCTGTTATACTAATCTAGAAAATACACCTGTGCAGATGTTATTTGGATGTAAGAACAACGGCAGATTCTTAACATAGTCAAAATGGCAGAATAACATTGACTTCACTAAGGGATACATTGCTGTAAGATATATTTTATAACAGTTAACACAAACGAATAACATACCCACCCATAGTCATTAAATTTGACAGCTAGACAAAAATAATCAGTTCCTTCAATACATACACTTCATAAAGCACTTTTCCTAATTGCAACAACTTTACATGTGTAACAATCTTGTGGAACCTCTGCTCAGATTTATGTTATTCTCATTTTTATTAACTTAATACTGTTGTACTTGTGTTTTATTATGTTTAGTTTGTTTAGTTGCATTCTGTCAGGATAATGCAACAGCAGCTTTTGAGATTAATGGAATCTGTTAGACACACTGTTACGCTGATATAAAAGTTCACAGCACAATCAAATGCATTTTTGGTGAATATCTGTAATTTAAAATTGGGGATAAAATTTTAATATGCTTTAAAATAACCCAATTGTTGCTTACCCCGCTCTGTGTTTGAGTTTTTTATCTAGGATTCCATCTCTGGAAACAAGCTTATTAAATACCAAAATGCCAATCACCATGTTGACCTGTCAAACAGAAAACAAATAGTTGATCTTTCAGTACCTGAAAGAAAATATTGTATCCTGTTACTTCAGAATAAGGATCTTACAGGCCTGAAAAATGCCTCCTCTTTTCCTTCAGAAATTGTGTAGCATTGCCCCTGACCACACCAAAAGAGGCCATATTCTCAAAAGGGTAACAAATATGCACCCTGCAACAGGCTTGTTTTTGAATCTTGAATTCTATGTGGTATGAAGCTGTATTTATGTACATGTCTGTTGGCCAGAAGCTTGAGTAATATAGCTTTAATATTTTGTCAGTTTTAATTGAAACAATATATCCTATTCCAGGAAAACCATTGAATATTTGAGTTGTGTGCACAGGGAAGAGCTAGTCAGAACATATGATGACTGTAACCATGTTCGTTTTTAAACATTTGTGTCCCATGTGGGTGTTCCCACTTATGCAGAACCAGCCTGTGGTTTTCCATTTGTCACTTGTCTATGTCTATGTCACTAGTCTATGTTATTCACCAAAATGCCAGTTTTGAGCCTTATTTGACTGCAGTTTACTATTTTTGTGGACCAGATGAATTCCTGGGGTAAGTCTGCTTAGCTCCATTAAAGTAAATGGTGTTATGATCACATACATGGGTTGAAGATCTAACCTAAAAAAATTTAAAGTGTTTCAGCAGTCAGACTTTGGCACTTAATGGACATACTAATGGCATTTAATGGAAAACTTAATGACTGTTATTATCCATTTGCATTATTGAAATGAACTCTATGAACCTGTTTCTACATGGCCCTGCAAAGAGGTAATACCAATTTTTGAATCTACTAAATCAATGTTCCTTTTTTTATTTATTAGAAAAGGATAATCCTTTTTTCCTTTCAAACAGGTTTTTCAATACCTGTGCCAAAATACCTAATTGTTACTGGTCTGTCCTGCCAACTCTTCTTCAGCTTTATTTTCAGCATTAACATTTTTCAGCTGATGTTATATAATTCTTTGGCTTCATACACTTAGGCTTAAGTGGCTGCATGGAACAGCTCCTTCCACAGCTACTAGCTAATGGTAGGGCAAACTGCTACTGTGAACTTCAAACATCTCTGAACAAAGACTTGCCAATTACACAGAGAACATACAGTTAGTTCCATGTGAAAATTATGACTGGCTTTTCGTAAACATCCTTGGCTCCTCTACCATGACTGTGAGTTGTACAAAAGGATCCTGGCTTGGCTCCAGGCAATGATGAGACAAACTCTATGGGAGTAGTAAACATCCATTTCAGGAAAATTTATGTAGCTAAATAGCTATATCTTTGATGACTAGTAAGACCGATTCCCTTTTACAAGGGAAAATCGGAAATAACTGGTGCTGATAGAACTATCATAGTATAAAATTGATGGAGTGGAAAGAGGAATTAGATTCAAAATCTGTAAGGGAAAAATGCTAAACAAATTATTGTGAAAAATTCATACAGACTGCAAAGTAGATGACTGATAGCTGATGGCACAGATAGGATGCAATTTATCTTACCCTGAAGTAGACAGTTGAAATATTTCTGATGGTTTGAGCTCTAAAAGTGTGTATTTTTCTCCACTGACAATGAAAAATAGCTGGGATAACTAGATTAGATGCAGAAATCTACATTGCAGATGTCTACAATCGGGCAAAAGTGAATCTTACACCTAAATGCATTTCCAGAGATGTGGAAGATTACTACATAAACAAGAAATTTTTCCAACTATGACTTTTTTCTTTGCCTTCTAAAGCAGTAGCCATGGAGAACTTGCTGGCTGGTTCCACTCCTTCTGTTGCTTTTGCTGGCACAGCAATACACTGCCAAGCAGCACTCTATCAAGAATGTCACTGAATTTCACAAGGAAGTGACAATTGCGTAGATGCCGCTGATAATAACTCAGTGATGCCTGTAAAAAGTTTTCTGTGCCACTAATCAGTACATTATTCTTTCACAGCTTAATGTATAAACACGGAAAATTAATTGGTATAAAGTGATATAATTAAATCAATCATGAATTCAAAATACTGAAGGTATGTTAAACAATACTAATCTCAGTATTTACAGCAAAATGCAATGTTACTGTATAGCTAAGCTTTTATAATTGAAATAGCACTTTCCATCATTTCATATGAAAATACTGGAAATTATATTAATGTTTACCAAGACAACAGCAGCTGCAGGTCCAACGAAAGCATAAAGTAGCCCTCCTTCCAGAGACAGCCAACAGCTGTAAAGAACATTAGAGAACAACTAACACAAATTAAAAATAAGTATAACACATTGTCAAAAAAACCAATAATTACTACAGCATGAGATTTTTTTGACATATGAGATTCATATGCACACACGAGAAAGAAATGCTTTGTTGATATGATGATGTAGAGAGCTGAAAGGCATTTCCATTACCAATTGTTAATGTTTCAAAATCTTTAATGTCAATTATATATAAACTGAAATGCCTAAAACGCATTAAGAGCACAATAGAAAATAAATTTGCAAGTATTTCTTGAATCTCCTTTAACCACGTATGATGAGTTAAGTGAACAGGCCTTGCCAAGCAGGTGTCTACAAATATTTCCAGCTTACCATGTCTGATAGTTCTATACTTAAAGCAATGAAGGGTCAAGTACATGTAATGTAGAACTTCGGGAAAAAAAAACGTTTCTACATATCCTGTCATTCAATAATTACTATTAGAACTACATCTTCAAGACAATATTCCCGTTAGAGAAAAATCATATATGATCTAACTGTTCTGTATTCTTTGGAATATTTCGCAAACAATTTAAATGTATGTTTTAAAGCATCTGAAAACTGTATTTTCTGGAGACCTACTAATCTTACAGAGTTTGTCATACTGCATCAGAGCTTTCACTGAAAATCATCAGATTTCCAAACACAGAGCACTTATAGGATCAGATTCTAAATATTTTATATACCATGATGTAAAGCTTTTCATATCTGCAAAAGATCAGGAGCTTCACACACTGAAGTAAATGCAGCTGTGCTATTTTCCCAGTGATTACACATTCAAAGAACTGCATGTTTATTTGAATGCATGATCACACCTACCTATAAGAAAGCTCAAGTATATGCATTCAAATAATTTACTTAGATCTGACATCCAGAAACATTCACGTCAGAATCATGCATATGTTCTTTATTTTATAGTAGTGGTTTTGTACTTTTGAAAACTAAGTAAATTAAATGCAAGCACATCATAATATTAATGGTCTGTTAGGGCTGGTATTCGCACTACAAAGAATAAAATTATTTTCCATTGCAATGAAGCCATGTGAAAACTGCCACATGAACCCAAATGCACCAGTGTGCTAAATTCTGGAACGATAAATGGATGCAAATAGTTCCTATCTGCCATGGTGTTAAAAACTTAATACACTTCAAGCTATTATACATCCTACCTCAAAAATCAACTACAACAGTAATGTTCAATTTATTTTTGTAATGTCAAAAAAATGCTTTCAAAATTTTCTGCAATTTTTCTTGCTATTTTTTCCAAAGGTGTGTTAGATATGGTCAGAATCTTTCTGAGAGGGGGAAATGTATTCATAGTGCATTTCCTCACCAGTATGAACTTTTAAACTTATGAAAGGTGATCACTCTGTGTAATTAAGATATGTAATTAAAATTTTCGTGTTTATTGGGAGACAGAAGAATCAGTTCATAAAAATAGTTGATGTATTGTATTTGAAAGTTAATTTCAGATACCTGTGCTGAAAAAAGTGTCAGGAAGGTTGTGTTTTTTTTGTTCTGCTTTGTTTTTGTGTGGTTTTTTGTTTGGTTTTGGTTTTGTTTGTTTGTTTTGGTTTTTTTGTTTGTTTGGTCTTTTTTTTGTGTGTGCTTTTTTTGTTTGTTTTTTTGGGGGGTGTTGTTTGCTTGTTTGTTTGTTTGTTTTTAAATAAAACAAAACCAGCTTCTACTCTAAAAATCTTTAAGACCAAAGGAGAAGTGTTCCTTTCCTTTTCCATGTCCTCAAGTAAAATAGTTGCTGAAAAGAGTGATTTCCATTTAGAGGCAGAGCTGGTAAAAATGTAGATGTTGTCCTCTTTTCTTTACACAACCTGAATTTTCAGTAGTCTGGATTTTCACTAATGTGTGACATCATTATTGCAACATATTCGACATTGCCTAGTTGATGACTCTGAAATTCACTTTTTCCCATTCTTTTTCTGTTGAAGACATTCTGAAGATAGATTTTCAGGTGCCCTTACAACACAAAACAATTGTCAATTTTTTACTCTTTTTTCCATCTTCTTTTCTATTTCTCTGCTCTGATAGCTTTTTTTCAGTGTTTTATAGTTGGTTTTATTCTATTCTCCTGTTCTGTCTTCTTTCTTCCTGATGTGCACATAGCAGAAGGCCATATAAATTGATTAGTATTAAGAGAAGCCACTGGTGGTTTTATAGGATCATGCTACATGGTCATAAAATTCTGCTGAGTGATGAAGTATCTGTACACTTGCTCCTGTGTCCTGTACATTTTGAGAGTTGTTTGATGCTCTCCAGTAGTACAGTTTCTTCTCTTAAGAGAGCATGGCAAGAACATGACTACAACAGAATTTTAATTTTTGCTGGTATAATGAATTCCTAGAACTAGTATTGAATGTAAACATGAGTAGTTCATGCAGGTTTATTAACTATAACATGTAGTAGTGATGCTTTCATAGCTGTGATCATCTGAAGGGAGGTAGCAAAAATATTTATTAGTCTTACAGTAACAGTTGGGAAAAGCTATTAAGCTTTTGTACACACATCTTTTTCAGACAACCGGAAATATTTAAAAACTTGTCTCTGTGGTTTTTTAATTATTTTTAGGAAATCCCTTCAGTTTCTCTATCTATATCACTATAAGTGTCTGTATGAAGTTCACATTTAGTTTTAAATGTACAGAAATACAACTGTCTAATAATTAGGATGCAGAGACTGACGATCACAGAATTTGTTCCAGTGTGAACAATTCTGACATATACTGTACAAAACTGAGATCTGCTTCAAAGATCCTTGGACCTTCTCTCTTTCCATGAATCTCTTCATGTGTGGGACTATGAGACTGGAATAAATTCCTCAATTTTCACTTTTAATGTTCTCCATTTGAAACCTTCATTTTCAAAATCAGCATCTTATAGAACAGGAATAGTTTGCAGCAGAATACATTTCTGATGGCAGTATGTGTGTAATTGATTGCAGTCAAACTGGCAAAATATAGTGTAAGCAGTTTAAAAAGTTACACAAGTTCTTTAGTTATGGGAGAAGGGGCAGGACAGGTGCTCTGCTTTTACACCACCCAACAGTTGTCATGGGACAAAATTCTTTGCTGCCTTCTGGAGTGGGACACCACATCAGCTGGTGATGGAGGAGAAATTGCCTTCACTGTTTTCTTTATGCAATTCTGATGTCAAATGCCAATAAAATACATTTGCAAATAAGATGAGAAAGCTGTGTTATGGTTCTGTTTGTCCCTTGCACACATCCATTTGTTCTTTTCTTCCACAGTACTTTGTCAGCTAAATTTGAAATCTGGGAGAGGAACTGTTACATATACAGAGACCTGCTCTTTTTTACTTTACAGGTTACCCTTAATGAATGATTTGTTGCTTTGTCTGAATATTTCAGTATATCCCCTTTTAAAAATGTATTCAGCTCAGGAAGGAAGTAGGAAGCAATGGTAACTAAAGCAAGTGCTCACATATGAATGATTTCGGTAGAAAATCCTGCAAGGGACAAAGCTACATCCCCAGTGGGGTCTTGACATTGTTCTTTGGTAATTTGTAATTCTCACAGCCTATATGGTTTTCCAGTCCTGGTTCAAGGACTAAATAATAAAAAAGCCAGCAAGATAAGCACAATAGTTAGAAAAAATGTCAGAGGAGAAGGTCCTCAATGTAACACCCAAAAGAGAAATAAGACCATTGTTTCACTTGCCACCTCTAAGTGCAAGTTAAGCACTTCCATTACATATGACATTCCTAATTAAAAAATTCAAGATGCATGTTGTCACCATTTAAAATTATAAAAGTTCAGTGGTTAGAGCTGGTATTCCAGAGGAGATTTGGTTTTGAATCCTTTCCCATCCAGTCCCGGAGTGAGGGCTTGAAGCCTCCCCCGCCATGTGCCAAGATGGTGAGACACATAGGGAAGGGAGGGGGAATCCTGATCTCACTCGATGATGCTAAGAGGAATAATTAAATATTCATTGAAGCGAAGTCTTGACCTCACTCATCCACATCTCTGATGAATGCCCTCATTAACAGACTACGGAGTCATATTTCCTCTCTTTCTGTCCAGATGCATATTTAATTTCTTAGGCAACGTGAAGAGAGCTCCAAATAGGCCAACCAAAGGAAATATACTCTCATATATATAATGGTGTTTGGAGCTCTCCACTGGCAGGAGGAAGGCTCAGCCCCAGTTCCTTCTTCATCAGAAGACCAAAGGGCAGTCTTCTGTGGAGTGAATTTTCCAAGGTGCTAAATACACACTTGAACCAGCCAGGTGGCTAAACAGGAAAGGTATTGGTTGAATGTAAATGAAGTGCACAGATTTCCTCCTGGTTGTCTCTCAAGTAAAGCCCAGTCCAGGAAATCAGCTGGATCAGGCTCTCCAAGAGAGAGGGGCTGGATGGGAGAACTGTTTTTAGACATCTGCAGGGCTTTGGCTCCAAACAGCTCATGAGTATTAAAGTCAAGGTATGCACTTGGTGCACAGAAACCCAGGTGCCAAAGAGACTCTTGCCAGTACAGTTTCAGACGTTTAAAGGCTGGCAGAGGCTAGCCATAACATTTAACACTCTCTTTTGTAAATCTATTAAACGTTAGGTGTCTAAGTGGACCTAATCCTCCGTGTTTCTTAAAAGCTTGCTATTTCAAAACTTCACAAGAAGTCCAGGGTGTCTGGTGCTTTGCTGAGCTCAGCCCAAGACTGGCATACTGTTTTCTCTTTGTTCTTTTGTGGATCACTCAGTCACTCTTAGGCCAGTTCCGAGTGTGAATGGATAGCTGTAGAGCCTTTAGCGTATGCCAGGCAGTTCCTGGGGTATGACAATCTTGATAATTAAAAACATATTTTATCATTTCAGATTGACTTACTAGTGGGCTGTTCCATATCCTTTTGTCTTGGTAAAGCCTATTGATATTGCAACCACTAATGCTGGCAATCCTGAAAAAAAACAAAACAGTAATAATCATCAGATGCTGAGTAAAATATCGCTGTTTTGCCTGGACAAAAAATGACAGGGCAAGCTAATGCAAAATGGCCAATTTTATACAGAATGAATTATTTAATGAAGCACAGTTGCAGGATTTGTTTTTCTGAAGCACTGGCAGGGAGGAGGACACTGTTTTCTGCCCACGGTGTACCACTTTGATGTACTTAAATTACTGGTACATTTGTCAGGTCTTAAAGAGAACTAGAAGGAGACTTCATCAATATTCAGAGAAGTTTTTGTCTTGTTTTATTTTGATTTCTTGATATTACAGTACTTTGCTGAAAATCTTCTAAAATTTTGTTAAAACATACTTATAAAAGAATGCTACAATATACACCAGCAGAGCTTGAGCTTAAGTGGAAAGGCTCCTCACCTAGTTTTCTTTTTAGTAACATGCTGTCTGGTTTCAGGTTAAATGAAGGAAATTATTATATTCCTGACACCATTGCTGCATTAAATTTTTCATTCCAACCATTTTTAGGAATAATTTTACTGCCTTACCCCATCCAAGGCACAGGAAACGTTTCCTTATGAGCCGTGTTCTAATTTTTCCAGTAACAGCCATGTATGACTGCCACGCTTCTGTCAAAACCCAACAGAATGAAGCTAAGAAGAAGAAGTGTAAAAATGCGGTGGTTGTGGTGCAGATGCCCTGCAGGGAGCAAAGAGAAGCTCATGCTGAATACTTAGGGACACTCATTCCTCTTTTCAATTTAAAGAATTGTCATATTCTATCATCTTGACCTTTATCTTTAGCATCAACTCTCCCTTTATGATGTGGTGGCCATAAAGAGACAGAGAAGGAGAGATGTTGATGGGGATTAAGCAGAAGAGGATTTGACTTGTTTTCCCAAACACTGAATGTTTCAAGCAGGGACAAAGAACACAAAATAAATCACGCTAGTAGAATTTTCTCTGCACATTTACTTTGACCAGGGATCATCAAAAAGCCATTCGGTAAGCCAGTTATAAGTTACTGATTATAAAATCTCACTATGCTGAACAAAGAAAATATGGGGATACAAATGCTCCTAATTGCCAGTTATATTTTCTTTCCTCCATGTAGAAAGAGCCTGACTATAAATCTGAATTTTATGTAATAGATTTTTTGATTTTTTTGATTTTTTTTATTTCAATCTTATAGAACATTAACCCATTGGAATATACCACCTTAGATCTTTTTAGGCTGGTTTAAGTATCATAACCTTAACAATTATCCTGGATATTGTTTTTATGGGTATCAGTCATTTGTCATCTGAAAAGTATTTTGAGCACGTGCAATCAGCTTTCTTTTGTGACTGTAGCCCTTAATTAAACTTGACATTGTAGCTTACATAAATGAGCTTCTTGGCATAAATGATGATCTGCCCTCCACTGTGTTACTTAAAATGCCAGTAGCAGGCTATAAAATGCAGTCTGCACTGTACCCCAGAACCAAAACCAAACTCAGTAATGTTGAAAATATCCTTAGCACAATCTATCACAATTTAAACCATCAAAATTATGTCAAGATTAAAAAAATCAAAACAGTTCACACCCCCAATATTAATGATGCAAATTTATAGTTGAGAAATGTAGATATTACTTTATGATTATTTCTTTATGCATCATACACATCTAATAGCTACCTTATGCTTAGCCTTTTATTAAGGCTAGTCAGTTCTTTTTTACTAAAATCCCAATTGAGCAAACTATTTAGGGAGAAAATATGCACCTTCCTAGTTGTGGTGCATATATTGTTGGATAAAGGCTGGTAGGAAGGATATGACATATATGACACCCATATATCACAGCATGCATGTTTTTTAGTTCATTTTCTATTCTTAATTACTTTAAAATAAATTTTGTTTTGAATTTTCTGTGGTGTTAATTTTCCCAGTTTCTTATCTGAAATCAATTGTTATGGTTCACTTCAATAGTTATCTCAAATACATAGCTGATACCACCTGATACTAGCATTAGCTGATATCAACATCTTTCAAAAATTTATGAACATTAAGTCAGAACTTAATGATTTCCTGCTGAAATTTACAGATGTGACAAACACCTTGCCTTCTAATCCTGGGTCAAATTGTCTATTTAAATCTAGGGAAAGGGGTTCTATATAATTATATGCAAGAGAATTATTGTTAATATTAAAAAAATGCAAGGAATGTAAACTGGAAAAAACCAGCAGATCCTGAAAATGCACTAATCATTCCACCCTAGGTTTTGTCACTAATTCTTATGTTTAGATGTCCCTAAGGTATATGGATTCATAAAATCTATCCAGTTAAAGCCTGACTAGCAGTATTTCCTGTATACAGACAAAAATTCCATTTATTTAAAATTAAAGCTCTGCATTGAAACACACAATAACTATAACAGAAAATGCAGAAATTGCCTTCCTTTAACTAGCTGGTTCATATGTTACGAATTCCTACTATGTAACTTTAATTTGCTTTCCTATCAATGTTCTTGCAAAAACTAGCATGTTCTGTTGGAGAAGAATTTGACAACAAAATTACTTTTGAGGAATATTAAAGAATCTTTTAGGAAGGAATTGCATAGGTAAAACATAGCATTACTCTGAAAAAAATATACTATTTCTCTTACAAATAATGCAAATACAAACATCCTGATCTTTTTGGTGAAAACATTGCTAACTCTTATTGTTGACTTGAGTACAGATTGTAGGATTTAATTCATAATTTATCCCCTGTATTGAAGGAAAGATAGATGATGATAATCTAAGACAAATGTGGACGTGGCTATTGTTGAAGAAAGAACTGTGATGAAAATGTTAATGATCATGTTGAGCACAAAATGAGAAGACAGAAGCAAGTTTTATGAAAGGTGGTCTGTGCTCTAGCTGGAATATATGACTGCTGATTAAATCTAACTCTCCTGAGTAGCAGAGAGGGGTCTTTAATGAACAAGAATGGTAACTCTGTATTACTGATATGACAGCATATTTGCATCATATGCCATCAGAAACATGCAAATCAGTCTCAAAACATCACCTAACAACCACTGTGGGATCCTGATGACACTCGTGTGCTGGTAGCGCTTGCAATGAACTCAGTCTCCCTCCTTCTCCAGCCAGAGAAGCAGTCCTGGCAAACAAAACCTGGCCCCTCCCAGGCATAGCCATGGGTTCAGCATGGTTATCCAATACCACACTGGAAATCTGGCTTTTACATACTTCTTTATTCTTCCTCTTCGATAAATAAATAAGCAAACAACACTGTTCAGTCTGGGAATGTGCTGTATCTGGGAAGCCAATTTCCAAATAGGAACAAAAATTCTTTTTCATCAAACATTGTTATTAAATGGGGCATTGAGTATGTCTAAATTTAGTGAGTATTTATTAACATTTTTTTCATTCTCACCAAGTCATGGACTACTTCCAGTTGCTCCCTCCTCTCATCATCTTCCTTACCAAGGACCAGTACCTCCCCTCACTTTCCTGCACATGCAGCAGCATCATTCATGGGCCTTGTGGCCCATCACTCACAGAGAACTACAGTATGTCAGCATATGGGCACCAGGATATAGTGGTACACGTCTTCCCCACTGCTTTACGAGATGTTTCTTATTTGCTTCTAGTTCTAGTTTATTAAAACTCACTGAATTAATTACATGTGCTGAGCACCTGTCAACTTGCAACAAGATGAATTTTAACAGCCTAATTTATTATTTCTTCAAGACTGAAATTAAGTCAACTTCTCTAACCTCCTCTTCCTCTCATTGCTTTTGCTCTCAGCTCCCCATATTTAATTATAATTACAAGTGGGGGAAGGGAGTTCTTTTCAGTCCTCAGAATGCCTAGTTTCATGAACTTTAATTGAGTCTCAGGTGTTTAGCTATCTGGAATATCTAAGTAAGACCATTCATCCCTTTTTAATAAACAATATACTATTGAAAGCAAGAACACACACCAGGTATCAAATTATTTCCTTCTCTTATACTTGTAAGACATCCACTTCAAATGAGTGTACTGAACACAGCTGGGAAATGTAAAAAACAGTAGAAATTCAAAGCTACTTATTCTAGTAATTAATATTTTTAATGTAAGAATGATGAATAAGAGAACACATCAATTTTTATGACCTACAAAAGTAGGTCATAAATGTAACCTTAAAATAAGAATTTATCAAAAAATTTTGAGCATCTGGCTGTTGTGTTTTGTTTTTTTTTTTAATAGAACAATGAGATTTTTTTAATACTAGAGTCTTTTTCTGTTTTTTATTAGCAGTTCCACACAATGTTCCACACAAAGACAAAGAGGGCTAAGTAAGGACACCTGATTTGTCTTGCCCTGAAACAGGTTCTTTTTTCTTCAAAAAACTTGTTGCCTGTCTCTGAGTTGTGATAAACAGTATAAGAATGGATGCTATTGGAAAATAAACATGAAATTTGAAATCTGCATTGGTGATAGCAAAATGAACAGGACTAAAATACACTCAGCTGGATTATCTAAGGAAGTAAAAGTGAGAAGTAGTAGAAAATCATTTAAATAATAAAATTTCTTGGAGATGGAAAAAATCTTGCCCTTGACTTATCTCTGAGGAGATAGGCCTAAAGAGATGAATTAAATGGGTGCTAATTTTATTCTTATGATGTTGTGACCATGCACTGAGTTCACAATGAACACTTAAAGACCACAATAAAGAATAAATGAAATAAAGGACAAACAAAACAAAAAGAATGCAAAGGGCATAGTAAAGAACAGAAAAGTAATTCTGTAACAAAATTGGTGTATTTTATTGTTTTTTTGTGACTCTCAAATCCTGAACTATGAAACAGTTTATCTTTTCCTTCTCTAAATCAAAAATATACATTCATAAAAGAAAATGTTGCTTATTATTTTTAATTTTATTTTTTGTTATTTCTTATTTTTAAACTCATTTGCTTCAGGAACAGCAGACACTGTCAGAATACAGGGATACGATATATTGGTCAGATAATATTGAAGGCTAGATTAAATACTTATTTATGGAGTAAACTGCCATGATAAAATAGACGGAATTCAGAGACTGTGGGACAAAGAAGCAAGAACTGTCTTCTCAGGAGTGTTTTTCTGGAAGGAGGACATATTTTCAATCAGAAAAATATGGCAAGGGAGACTGTCTCTTTAGTTGCAAACATAGTTGAAACTGTTAAGATCTTAAATGCCTGAAAAATCATAGCTGTAGTCTTTCAAATTTCTCTTCCAGGATCATTAATATTACTGGCATCATAAAGCTCTGAATGTATAATTTAAAAAACCCAATGTTCTTTTATTTTGACAGGCTCAACTGCTGCTAAAACCCCTTGTTCAAGCAGAGAACTTAGGAAATCTGATACTCATATTGAAAATAGCAATGTAGTGGAAATAATTCTTGTAAAATAATGTTATTTGCATTTTCAACCAACAGCTATGAAACTGTTTACTTTAATGAACTCTCAGAAAAACTTCAGGATGTTATAAAAATCTTTTCCAATGTCCTTAGCAGTTGAAGGCTCAAGTTGAAGGCTTCATTACATTGTGTTCTGATGTCCGACAGGATAGTCCAAAATAATTAGCATTTGACTTCATGAGTATTTGTGTGATGAGCTATGCACAGTTAATTATTATACTGCAGGATTCTCTATGTGGTACAAGACAATGTGAATGGTAGCCTTTATTTG